GTGTCTGGGTGGGAAACTGGTCACCCCTGTCAGACGGAGTTTCTGCATCATCTTGTTTCGTCTGACAGCTGAGTCCAGGCCACCACAGGCAGATACGCTGAATAGCAGGTGTCTGTGCAGACCAACAAGGAGAGGAAGGATGGAGGAAGCAGCGAGACATCACTCTGGGCCAAGGAACCAGGAGGCTCTGGCTCTGGGGACTGGGAAGAGATTTAGGTGGAAAGCTGGCCAGAAGGAAATGTGGGAGAAGGCGCAGAGTGCTTCATGGGGGACTCTAGTCCAGACAGTCTATGAAGCAAGAAGCCACCAATCAGGGGAAGGGAAGGCTCAAGCCCTCGGAACAGGGCTGAGAGCAGGTGCTGCGCAGCTTGGGCACACTCGGTTTGCATCTCAGCTCTACCACGCCTGCCTGTGTGACCTTGACCCTTCCAAGCCTCAGCTGCATTGTCTGTGAAATGAGAATGAACAGACAACACCTACAAGAGGGCTACTGTGCAGATCAAATAAAATGACACATGGTAAAGCACTTAGTACCATGCCTGGCCAATAGAAAGCTCTCAGTAAACAGTAGTGACTATTACTGGTTTGGAGTCCGGAAATCCTAAATTCTACATGGCTCTGTCACCTTGTACGAATGATTCCACCTCTCTGAGCCTCAAATTGCTGGGTGGTTCTGGAGTTGAAGAGTGAGAATGTACACAGAGGTTTCCCACTCATGGCCAAGAACATGGCAAGTGCTCAGTTCACGGAATTCCTCTAATTTGGGACGCAAACCTCCATATCGATGAGTTTCTGAGAGGCAGTGGGAATGCTGATGGGAAGGGGATTTTCCCACCAAGACTACAGGTGGGGACTGAAAGGTCTAGCAGGTAGGGGCAGAGGAATGAGAGGAAGAAAGCCAGCTCTCCTGCCCGCAAATGGCTTCCTGCCATGGAAGCTGCAGGCAGGAAGCTGGGCTATTTTCCGCACAGGGGAAACTCCTGTCTGGGACATCAGGGGTGTCTGGTAAGCCAAAGAGCCTCATCTCCTCCCCACCTTGACTTTGTTGCAGGGAAAAGTTACTTTCACCAAAATTTGCCAAGAGGAGGGGCCCACACCCCAGGGACCACAGTGAAATGTCACTTGTGGGAACTGGGAGAAGCAGCCCCAGGAACCCCAGCACTAGTCCTAACCGCCACCCCCCTTCCTCCTCTCAGACTCGGCCCCATGCAGGACAAGGAACTGGGCTCATGAGACAGACAGGGTAGGAATTTTGCACGCACAGCCACTGACCTCAAGCCTTCCCGAGGTGCCCTGCGCCAGGCTCACCTGTGCAGTGAGGGATACACGTGACCTGACATGTCGTGGCTGACGTGAGGATTAAACAGGTAACAAGTGAGGACGAGCATCCAATGGAAGTGGCATTCATGAAAGGTGCCTTGTGTTACGCTCTGCTCTGGGCTACTGGCTTTAGCAAGCAGCCTACTGCGGGGATGTGTGTAAGGAAGAAGTTTTCACTAAGTTGGAATTTGTTTAGAAGTTAAACTGGGACTTATGTTTATTCTATTTTTTATCAAGTTTTATGTTTATTTGCCATTTGTTTACACAACGCTGTAATTTGGGGAGTTCAGGCTCACACCTCTCTGTGCACATGCTCCACTTCTGTGCACATGCCCTTCTCGAAGGTCCACAGGACTTTTCTCTCCTCTCCTCCCTTGTAGTCATCATATTTTTCAAAGTCTAAGTTATTTTTGCTGTGTTTTGTCATCGACTGGGAAATTGAAATTGTAAGTATTCTAGCTTTGACTGGAGACACCTTTCTGCAGATGTCAGACTGCCAGGGATTTCAAATCCGCAGAAAGCCCCAAATACTTCCGAACAGCTAACAACTATAGCAGAGCCATCTGCACCTCCAGAGAGGCCTCTAGGCACTCTCCTCCGCCTGATGCACACACAGTTCTCTCCATTCTCCCACAGCTACCTCTCACCCCCACCAGGAAAACTCCTACTCATCCTCAGGTCTCGCCCCTGCCTTAGGGAAGCTTTCCGGGACTCCTCATTGTTCTCTATAGCATCTCATCACCTTCCTCCATTGCCTCTCCCAGGTAACTGAATGTGGGGTTGTGCACATCGCTGCTTAATGTCTGACTCCCCTAATACACAGTGAGCTTGGCAAGGGCAGTGCAGGGTGAATTGATCAGGCTTTTTAGGCCACTAGCCTCTGTGGCTATCACTTGTGGATACAATCATGTTAATACAGAAAGCACCTGGGAGCATGGGTGGGGGGCACGCGCACCTGATTGTGAACACCTAGAACATGCGTAAGTGTGCACACCTGAGCCTAGAGGTCAGGGCTGTTAAGGGCATCGTCACACAGAGACGGGCATGGGGAGATGGCTACATGAGGGCAAGTGGCGTGACTACAGAAGAGGCGAGACCACGAGAGAGGCCAGAGAAAAAAGTGTAGAGATTCGCAGGGGTCTGGGGGCCTCCTGGCTCCCCTGCCTGCCTTCCCTTCGCCCCACAACAGGCAGACACCGCATCGGGATGCGGCCATGTGTGTGCACACAGCGAACATAGTGCTGGGTGGATAGAGACCCTCAGGGAACCTCATCTCATTCCATGAAGGCAGCACAGCCGCAGCCGAGCTCTGCAGCCTGGGCCGGCAGAAAAAGGAAGAAGGGGCTCTTTACCCACAAAAAGCTGAAGTTACATTTCTAGTATGGATGTAAAACAAGAGGCAAGAAAAGACTAGGAAGCGTCTCTGGGACTAGCAAAGGACTCTGGGTCCTCCGCGGAGGGGCAGTCTGAAACCGCCGCAGCTGAACTCATTACAGCAACAGAGTGAAAATGGCCCCTGCATCTATGTTTTACATATAGATAAACTTCAGTGACGATAATAACGTGGAATCAGCACCTGAGCCCTCCTCTCATGACTTCATGTCCCTACCATGCACGCTGTAGAAATTGCAATCCATTTAAGAAAGTTTCCCAATAATATTTTATGTTTTAGTATGTAAGTTATGGTTGGTAGGAAAATTTTAAATCAGAGCTGCTCTTTCTCCAGCTGATAGTGTCAGATGAATTGAGTATCATAGTTTGACATAACCTTCTATTTAAAACAAACTTCATCGTCCATCCACTTGTAAAAATGCCGATGGCAATGGAGTGAAACAGTCATGGCTGTACACTATTCCTTTGGCAGTAGCTATCAAGAGCCTTATAAATGCTCGCACCATTCTCAGAATCCATTGTAAAAAAATAGTAGGTGTTTTTGTGCAAAAATGTTCAAGAGCATCATTATTTATCATTGTGAAGAAGTGAAATAACTCAAAAGATAAAATAAATTTCAGAGGAGAATGGTTATGTAAATTATCATACATCACGGCCATAGGATACAAAATGCTACAGTGAAAACTAAAGCTCAGAATTGTACACTAATATCAGATAACTCTTATGTGGCAAGTTTTTTTTGTGCTCAATAAAAAATCCAAAACTGGAAGTTCAGTGATATATACAAATGCCCACATACTCATAATAAAACACACCAAAAGGAAAGCGGTTGTTATCTTTGGGTTATAATATAATTCAGTGAATGCCTTTGTTCTCCTTGATTTTCTGGGTTTGCCAAAAAGCAAAATATGTATTGGTTCATAATTGGGGAAAATAACAAAATTAATTCATAGAAAATAATTGTATTAAAATTAAATGCATTAATACATTATTTTCTTTACTGGGTTTGACCAGAAAGTGTATTCCAAAAAAAAAAAAAAAAAAAAAAGAAGGAAAGAAGGGGTGTGGGCAAATTCTGATCCCAGAGAACCCAGCATCCTTATCCATCAACTAAAAGATGCAATAGTAATCCTGTTTGACTGAGTTCCTTGGGTCTTGCCCTGTTCATCTCTGCATTTGAGGGTCACATCTTTCTTGAAGGAACTCACTGTCTTAAGGATGCTGAAACACAAAGGGATGGGGCAGGAGGCCGGAAATCTCTGTTCTATCACTCTCTCAGCCCCCTGGGACAAACAACTCCACCAATGGCTCTCAGAATCCCATAAAGAAAATAACAAATCTGTAGAGGGGTTGTTCCCTCTAGGACTATGATTCTTTGCCCTTCCTGGCTCAGGAACATAGTTCCCTCCTCTTTAAAATGAGAGATTACCTTAAGATCTAATGATCTTTCTGTTCATACTGCAGAGAAGTATAAAAAAAAGAAAGAGTCTCCCATTAAGTCATTCGTCACAAGAACATTTCAATTTGGGCTGACCACTTCTCTCCCAACTCCTGGCTAGGGCCCAGATGCTGGGCCCAGCTCTCATCAAGGGAAAAGAGGAGGTGGCTGCTCTCCCCTGAGTGGCTGATATGCATCTTAGTTAAATATTCCAGTTTCAATATCAACGCTCACTTCAATCCTGTTGCATCCTAATACAGAAAGGAAGCAAATCACAACCAATGCCCTCTTCTTCCATAGGTGTGAAAACCAGAAGATGTAACAAAATTATCAGAGGCCATGACTGACCTTGTTATAATGTCCCATCTCCTTTCGTCCTCCAGACTTTACCCTATCTCCTAAAAATGCCATTTCTGTCTAGGATTTCACATGCTAGTCCCCGACCGCAGACATTCTTCTCTTGGCCATTTCTGCACACCATTCACTAAGCCCTTATGGAAGATACTGATATCCTTGACAGAGTCTTCCCCGCCCTCTTGCTTGGTCCCTCACAGCACTCCATCCTTCCCTTCTATAAGAACACATTGCATTTTTGTCTCCTTCCAACATAACTCTAAGCTCTGAGGGTCAAGAACCACTTCTGCAAAGATCATCCATGAGCCTCCAAACCCGGCTGAGTGCCCGCCATGTTATTAGATCAACACTGACCAACAAGAGCTACAGTCAATACAATAAAACTTGTAGACGAGTGCAGACATGACCAGCACGGGCTGTGGGCTGCCCAGCCTGCAGGGCTCATCCTGGACAGCAAGTGGAGAGACCCCCGACCTAGATGGGTACACCAGCCTACCTTTTTAGTCTTCACGGTAGAAGCACAGCAATCCCCACCATCGTAGTTGCAGAAGGCTCGGTTGTTGATGGCATCACAGTAATTGTCTCCCATGAAGGGCTGTAAGAGACAAAGTCAGGAAGGAAAGGAGGTCTTGTTAGACTCTGGCATGATCATAGGAGGATGGGTTCTGTCACGGTTTGACTGTCTCTCATCTCACCAACCTCACAGTCTCCCTGGTTTCAAGCCCCAAACCCCTGTAGGGTAAATGAAGATGGTCAGGCTTCCACACCACGAGTCTCTGTGACTATAACCTGTGGCCTTGATTGTGCTGATGCAGGAGGCACTTGGGAGCATAGGGTGGGGCACGCATGCCTGATGGTGGACACCTGGAGTATGGTGTGGGCATGCGTAACTGGGCACACCTGAGCCTGGAGGCTGAGGCTGTACAGGCTGCGCCACACAGCATGGAGAACGGCTACAAGAGGCAGGACCACAAAATGATGCCAGAGGGAACCCAAAGAGAAAGAGTAAAGATTTTCTGGGGGCTGGGAGGCCTGTCAGCCTCCCCCGCTTTCCCTGCCTGGGAAGCCTGCTGGCTTGCCCTACAACAAATGGTGCAGAAAGAGCATTGAAGCCTGAAAAAGTCACTGAGGGCTCCTGGACTTTCCTTTAACCATCTTCCCCAACCAATAGAGAACCTGCCCTGTGTTTGCGGCCAAACCAGGGTCTAACACAGACAGAGCCGCGGGCAGGCAAGAGTTGTGCCGAGAGGTGTGTGTACACAGGTACGTGGCTGAGCCCCAGGGTCACTGGGGCAGTGTCACCTCTTTTGCCATGATAACATGCACCAAAATGCTGCGTTCACACAGCAAGCAGATACAGCACATCCCCACTGCTTTTCTCTGGCAGGCCTTCGGAGATCTGCCCGTGGACTCTGCTCTGCACCTTCTGTACATGCCATATGTAGCAGACTAAAGAGACCAGTGCCCCTTCCTTAGAATTAAAAAAAAAAAAAGCCTTGATAAAAGAGAAAAAAAAATGAATGAAAATAGTTCATTTTTTAGTTTGACCCCTGAGAAAAATGTCCAGTCTCACTAGCAACTTTCCTCTCTAATCACCCTTCCCTGTAGTCACATCCATGAATCTGCCCATCCATCCACCATCCATGCTTCAATCTACCCTCCAGTCAACTCTAGTGATTGAGTGCCTACTGTGTGTGACACTGTAGGGTAAGGAAAAATGTCAGGCTTTTCTGCACTCCCGCCATCAGAACAGATGATCCTGGCGGTCCTGAATGCATGCCTGATGGCGGGTACCTGGAGTAGGGTGTGGGCATAGGTAGATGGGATTCACCTGGGCTGAGACTGGGCTTTTAAGGGCGGAGTCACGGTGATGCCAGCAGAAGCCGAAAGAGAAGCCGAGAAAGAAGTAGCAGAAGCCGAGAGAGAAGCAGAGAACACCAGAGAGCCCAGATAGAGTGAAGACTTGCTGGGGGCTGGGAGGCCTGCCAGCCTCCTGGCCCCCCAGCATCCTTGCCTGCTGTGTACCGGGTAAACCCCAATAAAAGCCTGCAAAAAGCCACTGAGGACTCTGACTCCTTCCTTACCTGGTCTGCTGGATCATAGAAAACCTGCACTGTGTCCATTCCTGACCTTTCAGACACATTGCCATTAAAAATAAAGATGCAATTGTATGTCGAAACAGAGCTCTGACTTCTTTAGACCTTATACTACAGTGAGAAAACAGACTTTAACCAAATAATCAAATGGCCCAACTTCAACTCTGGTGAGAACGCTGGAGGAAAGGTACCTGGCGCAGTCAGAGGAAAGAGCAGGAGGATCTGACCTACTCAGGAAGCTTCATCAAGGTGCTCCTGAGGAAATTTTTCAGCTGAGACCATGAGATGAGTAGGAGTCAATTAGATGAGGGTGAAGGGAGAATTTTCTAGAGTGGGAATAGTGTGTAAAAAGCACTGCTACCTAAGAGATTTTTCGTGTTTCTCATGCTGTTACTCCTATAATTTGTTCTGGCAAAGAGCTCATCCTTCAAGATCTAGCTCAAACATCACCCCTCCAAAATGTCCTCCACACCCCCCAGGGTGCCCTGTGCATCCACAGCGCCTTGCACTTACATTTTAGAATCCTCTTTTTACTTGTCTATCTCCTTTAAGTATCTGGTAAGTTCCTTCTGGACAGGAAACGTGTGCCATCCATTTAAATATCCTAGATTTACTAGCAAAATGCCTGGCGATTTGAGCAAAACTTCAGCAAATATATGTTCCTTCAATGTTACTTAGTAAAACCATATAGAGGGATGGGTGGAGGAATGGACGGACGGACGGACGATGGGCAAGATCAGCTAAACAGTGAATCAGGGGAAGAGGAATCAGGGAAAATAGTTACTCGGCGAAGGCCACTGGAATCCTCATTGCCCAGAGCTGCGCCAGGCACATATTAGGGACTCAGTGACGTGCTGACAAATGAGTGAACAGTCATTTCGGACACAGCCTGAAACAGAGGGCAGGAGGCTCAGGGGCCCCTTGCTCTGTCAGGTCCACCTCTAGATGGACTGACTCCGGGCTGGTAGTTCCTCCCTTGGTGGCTTTGGATATTTTTTTCTAAGCACACTTTTCAGCCCCGGACTAGAGACAAACTAGGAGCTCTAAGCTAAGGAGGAAAGACACCGAGGGGCACCTGCAAGGGCAAGGCGATAAGCATCAGCAGCCGGGCGCAGAGCCTGACAGGTGAGGGTCTCAAAGTGCTGAGTCAGAGGAGGGATCCAATTCTGCTGTCACACTGGTTGCCCTGACTGCCAACTCAGCAGGACGAGTGCCCAGGTAACCCAAGCTTTCTTTCTCCGAAGTGCTGGAATGATCCAGAACAATGGAAGGATGCACAGCCGCAGGGGTCTGAGCTGAATCTTGGGAGAAGCACAATGTCAAGTACCCTGAGCACAACCACAGAGGGTCCCCCTCCAATACACAGAAAGAAATGTATGCCCACGGACCGTCCTATGATACTTACAGGTCAGGGGATGGCTCATGGCAGGAGGTGAGCTGGTGGGAGAGAAAAGGCACAACCAGGCGCAGGGCAGGCAGGTTAGGCCAGGGGACCCGGAGGCTGGCAGGCCTCCCAGCCCCCGGCGAATCTTTACTCTCTTTTTGGGTTCTCTCAGGTGTTTTCTCGCGCTGTCTTCCTCTCACAGCCATTCTCTGCCAAGGCGTTCTCAGTGGGACGCCGCCCTTACAGCCTCAGCCTCCAGGCGCAGGTGTGCCCACTCCAAGGGTCACAAGCGCCCCGCCCCACACTCCCAAGCGTCTCCTGCTTTCAAGGCCACAGGTGATGGCCACAGCGGCAAGCGGCGTAAACTCCCGACCATCACTTTTACCCTACAACTGGGCTCATGATTTGCTCTGTGACTATTAGGCTGTTAACTTTGGGCTACCCATCTCCCTTCTGACCCGCCGACCCCACAAATGAGTGGGGTTAGAGCACAGTCTGAGCCCTCCAGTTTTGAGCTTACGTCAAATTTTAGATCTGGCCACTGTCTAGCTCTCTCTTAGCTTCTCCATCTTTGAAATACAAGTTTACATTTGCACATCTCAGGGAGTATTTCGGGCTCTGACCTTTTAAGAATTTCATCAAATACATTTTTCTTGAGCACGTTCTAGTCCTTTTCACTTGCATTTTCTCGAATGGGCTCTGGGGAGACTCCAGGGCTTAGGCATCCACCTGGATGGGATTTGGGTCTGCTTTCTCACTGCCAGCTGAGCACCACCAGGGGCAGAGACGCTGAAATGTCTCTGAATCCCGAGGACAGCAGCTCCCTTGAGAACACAGGTGAATACAAGAACCCTGTCCCTGCCCGTCCCTGAGCTCGTCCCTGAGAGGCAGAGACGGCTCTCTGTAATGTCAGCTTCCCAGAATGAAACGCCTCAACTGCCAAGCCAGAGAACTGAAGGATCAAAGAGGATCTTCCACTGCCAGGTCAACAGTTGGATCTAAGGTGTCTATATTACTTCTGGGGTTAAAGGTGGAGTGAATGACCAGCATGTGTGGCACAGGAAGTGACCTACAAATAATGGTCATCAGCAAAGTGGGGGTTTTTAAAAGAGCAGTCTCATGTGGTTCCACCAAGGTTAAGCATGATCACGCTGCTAAAATTCCTAGCATATGATGGATGCTAGGTCAGAGGGCTTCTCCTACAACTGCTTACAGATTTAATATCGTGCTGAACACAGATTTTGGAATCAGAAAAAGCTGTCTTGGAATCCTGACTCTGTTATCTAGTAGGTGTATATTTGGGTATATCTGTTGATAACTTTGGGCCTCAGTTCCATGGCCTGTGAAATGGGACTGCTGATTCTTGTCCCAAAAGTCTACACAAGGGATATTTGCAGCACTTACTAGATACAGGGGATGGTGGGATAAAGAGAACAATAACAATAGGATCACTTCTAGCGACTTACCTCACAACCTTTAACACAGTGGATGAGAGAAGGGTGAGGGTACCACTTGAGACCAGCTGTGCAGACAACTCTCTGGAGAGAGAAAGAGAGAGAGAGAGGTTAATGGGTTTGGGGGTGGGAGGGAGCCATCTTGCTGGCACTACATTCAACCACACCACCTCTTCTTGGATCTTCCAAGTCCTGACCTCACCCTGGCATGTCCATGGACAATTTTTCTGGGTACTTGCAATATCAGAAGCGGTAATATTAAAATATTTGTGTTCATCGGAGGTGTCACAATTCTGTCTTTCCCAGCAAGAATAAGGGATGAAGAGGAGCAGAAGTAGGGGATGGAGGTATGATCAAAGCGGCCCTCTGTGGCAGGAGTTGGGGATGAGGTGTGAGGAAAGGGGAAGGATAGTGTGTGCATGTGCATGAGTCTCTGTTGTGGCCATATGTGTGCATGTGAGTGTCTCATATGACCCACACAGGTGACTGTGCATGTTACATGTGATATTCACATGTGTCTTGTGTGTGTGTGTGTGCATGTGTGTGGCTGTTGCAGGAAGATGGGAGAATGGTAAGGAGCAGGGTTTCCCAAAGCAGGCGCCGAGGACCACTCTCACCAGCATTATTGCAGGAACACATTCGATATGTAGATTCACTGGTGCTGCCTTAGATGTGATGAATCCAAATCTCTGAGGCCAGAACTTGGGACTCTACATTTTAACAAGCCTCCCAGATGATTCTGATGCACACTAAAGTTTGAGAACAGTGAACTGAGGATGAACAGACTAACCTTTACTTGGAACCCTGGAGATGCAAAACACCTTTCTTGCCTCCACCTGCTACCAGGTCACATCAGCCTGCTTGCAATTCCATGAAATTGCCCACACTTTGGTATCTCTGTGATCTTGTTTGTGCTGTTCTCCTTCACTGAAACAAATGCCCTTCCCCATCTTGTCAACTGAGGAATCTTTAGTTATCTATTAAATTTCTGCTCAAGATTGACTTTCTCTGTGGTGCTTTTCCTAACCTCTCGGGCTAAGCTTACGGGTGTACATATATGTAGTTTTCTATAGCATCCTTTAATGATGGTGATTATGGTGAGGGTAATTACAACTGCAGTGTATTGCAGTGTCTTTTGGGAGTTGAGTATTTTATGCGTCATCTTATGTATTTCTGACCATCATGCAGAGAGGTGGACGCAGAGAGCTTTGTGACATAAGAAGGAATTTCCCAAGCTCCATAGCTGGTAAGTAGAGAAACCAGGATTGGATGCTAGGCAATTGTTTTGGAAGTGATATATGGCAGCTCATAACATAAAATCCCACATGATGATAATATTTAAAGTAGGTGAAAAAAATAATAGATAAAACTTGGGAGACCATCAGGATGGCAGAATAACAGTAGAAGTCCCCTGCTCTGTTTTGCTATAGATGCCTTACTTCTCATGCCAGATTACAAAAATTTCTTTAAAGGGAATAAAGATAACCAAGAGGCAAATGCTTAGATTTGCAATGAGGGGTAACTGTGTTGGGGCTAGCCACAGAAGTCTCTATGATCAGGGCTTGTCTCTTGGCTGAGTGCCAGTTGATTCATTTTAAGAAATGAGCATTCACAGGGCCAGAATGTGGCAAATCCATGTGACCAAACCGTTCTCTCCCTGAACACGCTTATATGAAGGCCAAACTGTAATTAAGTTTCTTGGTAAGCTTGGGATTAAGAGAATTGTGTGAATCCAAACTCTGGCCAAGATTGGTCTTTATTCTCTGCTCTGTAGTATATCTGCTTGACCCTTGGATATTCCATGCCTTGAATGGTACCTGGCACATAGAGAACACCCAGTAAATATTTATGCTATAAATGAATGGGTTCTCTTGAAAATAGATATAATTATCACAATGAACAATATTTTCTTTACTTGTCTTCCAGTCTTCTAGAGCATCAGAAGAACACTCACAATGACTAGCAGTGTCTAGTTTAGAAGATCAATTTAGTGTAGAATGAATTCAAGATCTTGGATAAACAACATAACTTGATGATCTGCCAACCAGTCTTGCAATGTGAAATCTAGTAAATACTCCCCTAATGCCGCTACTGACATGGTGATCTAAGAGAGACCTTCGGCATTGGAGTTTGACAGATGAGGCTGAAATTCTGACTTGAAATTGCATTGTAAATTTCTACTCTAGGTTGTCCATCTGTGAAATGGACACAGAAAATGTCATATGCTTGTGCTGATGTACTGAGACAAGTGATATGGAAATGGTTGATTAGAACCCAATTCTTGATGTTTCCAGGGATTACTCTGGGTTCTAGACATGCTGTCCCACTGAGATCAGGCACAGAACACAGAAAATAAATACATGTTGACCAAATAATGGAATATCACTAGTTCCAGTGTTTCTTCCTTCCAGCTTTGCTACTTTTGGGCCCTGTACTCCCAATCGTAGGGCCAGAAGTGGAGAGAATCACCTGCTTTCATTCTCTGGAAAACTTTAGTCAGACTTTCATTTCAGGGCTATTGGAGGGGCATTTGGTAATGGCTCGAGAAGAAGAAAACAGCGGGGTTAGGATCCACTGGGTATTTAGTGCCCATCCCTTCCCCTATTTATTTGAGAGCTAATTTAATCCATCTGGAGGAGTGACTTGGTGTGGTTGTATGAGTTTCTGTCAGTTGAGGTTTACCTGACGTGAGTTCAGAAAAAGGACTTTTATACTATCTGCCTGAGCCTATTTATCTTTCCAAGGCTTTTGGATTTTCCACTATTCCTCAGGGCTGCACGCCCCACCTGTCTCACTACAGGGCCCCTCTGTATGTGAAGAGAACTGGGAAAGAGGATAGGCAGCAGGATCTGAAGGAAAGACTAGGCTGTTTACACCACAAGCTGGGAGATCCCAGATGGCGCCCCTCAAATGTCAGCCTTGTTCCTTTTGATGCCAGTGAAACATTTAGCATTGAGAGAGGCCTTCCAGGTTGGTTTTGTAAGTCAGCTTTCATTTCCTACCTTCCTGCCTTTCTTCCTGGCTATAATGACCATCAGCATCAGTACCACCACCACCACCATCAGTAACATCAACACTGACTTCATCACCTTCACCACCACCATCATCACCATCACTACCATCATCAATCCCACCAGCACACAAACACCATCATCTTCACCATCTGCATCAGTAACACCAACACTACCATCTTTACCTCCACCACCACCATCACCACCACCACTACCACCATTGTCATCACCTCCAGCAGCCCTATCAGCATCTCTGCTACCACCACCACTATCCACCACTATCATCACCAGCATTACCACTATCACCTCTACCACTACTCTCATCATCTTCATCATCATCACCAACACCCTCGTTATTCTCATCCTCATGAACCAAAAAAATCTCCTGTTAGCCAATCTCTGTGCTCAGAGCCTTAATTTAATTCAATGCCTATCATAACTAGGAGATAGAATCATGCACATTTGGAGTAAAGAAATACCAAAAGGCCAGATAAGGCAAAACAACCCCTAGAATGCTGGCTAAGAACTGAAGCTACAAGAGGGGGAGAAAAAGGGTGGGGTGGGACAATAAAGTGGGGAGAAGGCACAGTGGACTGTGGGGATGGACTGGATTTTCTTTGGTCTTGAGTGTGGTGTAGTGATACACCTGAAGGGGGAGATCCTATACTTCTAAAACACAAACACCGATGCATACCAATGTCACAGAAAGGAGAGGGAGAGAGGGAAGAAAGACTTTGAAAACAGAAGGGGATTCTGGTTTATAGAAGAAACTGAGGCACGAAGAACTTGAATAACCTGCCCTAAATCATACAAATAGGCAATGACAGCAAGGAATAAACCCTGATGAGTCCGATTTCAAAGTCTGTACTTTGAACACTATATCCTCCTTCAAATTCCCCTAGCCCCTGAAGCCATATGTATAAAATAGAGGACTCTTCTTACTGAAAATTCAAGGTTGAGGAAGACAGAGCTACTTTCACACCAATACAGTAGGGACAGAGGGGCTAAAAGGTAAAGGCCACAGAGTTGACGACATCTGAGAAAGCATCTTCGGAGAAACTCCCATCCTGAGATGGGATCTGATGCCATTTACCAGCACATCCCTGGGAAGCAACCAGCAGCCATTTTTCCTTTATTACTGATACTGTACATTCAGCAGAGGCTGTAAGGGTAGCTGAAATGCAGATTTCTGGAAAGCTGGGTCCTTCTTCAATCCTTCTTAGGCTAGAGGCTCCCAGTCTTGAGGCCTCATCTCCTTCCTGGGAAAGTGGGGACTAGTTCCCACCTCAGAGGTGTGTGTGGTATGTGTCTGGGTGTGTGGTGCATGGTGTGTGTGTGGTATGTGTGTATGTGTGGTATATATATGGTGTATGTGGGGGGGGTTGCAAATGAAAGTTGGAAACTGCCTGATCTCATGTGCCCTCACAGCAGGCATTCACTCAATGTCACTTCTTGCCTGTCACCTTCTTACCCCGGGGACAAAGGTGACAGGAGCAGAGCCTTGTGCCCAGCTGGCCCTCTGCCTTGAAATGACTCTCAGAGGCACCCCTCAGAAGTAAGGAGCCCTCCAGGCCTGCTCTGGCCTAGCCATGCCTGCACCAGCAGCTCAATTTCTGTAGCTCTCACCACACCAGGGGCAAGGGTGTAGCAAAGGCCAGCTTTTCTGCCTTATTCCTGGAAATCATCAATCTCTGCCCTTCGTTCTCCTCCCCTTTTCTACCACATTTTTTTCCTCCTGGATAATGAGGCCTCCGGAGACCAGTGGAGGTCTGAACCTCGTTATGGCTCTCTCGGTAGGCCGGCATCAATAAAGGCCGCAGACCAGGGAACTGGGTGGGGGCTGGGCCGGGCAGGCGGCGGGTGGGCGACTGGGGAGGGGGAACTTGCAGGCTTTCAAATCCCTGGATTTATTTCACAGTAAATTATAACTGAACTCTTTAGTGCCCGGGGCTCATAGAGTGAGGGTGGGAATTCACTCGGGCGGGGGGCGGGGGGGTAGAGAAAAGGCCTGAGTGAGAGCTGGACCAGGACGACCTGTCTGAGTCCCAGGCACAGGCACCTCAGGTGCTGGAGTGAGGGGATCTCCTGCATCTGGGTAAGAAGGTGAGCCCCTGCCCTCTGCATTTGTGGGAGCCAGGAGGGTCAAGGCAGGGAGGCTCCTGCTCCTTCCTGTGTGATTCTGGCCTAGTGTCCCCTCTGTTCCTTAGTTTCTCCCCATCTGTACAGCAAGGGGCTTGTCTTTGATGTTCTCTGATGTCCTGAGATGCTGATCTCTGGGCTCCTGCATGCACAGGATCAGGGTTGCCCCGGGCTTGGGGAAGGGGAACCACGTGTTGAGTGGAAGTCCCCAGAGGGGAAGGGCTAGGGAAGTGGCACTGTCTTGCAGATGCCTGGGAGAGGCAGAGGCAAAGAGACAGAGACCCTGGATGTGGGGGAAGGGAAAGAGGGTAGGCAAGAGGGAAGTAGAACAAGATGATGGAGGAATCAGGAGAACGAAGAGAGAAACAGTGAAAAGAGAGGCAGGAGAAAAGGGATTAAGTTGGAGATGGGAAGAGAATGGGTTGGTGGGTGGGGAGCGTGTGGAGCCGAGGAGGGCAGCTCCAGCCACCAGGAGCGCTGACTAAGCCCTCACGAGGGTGCCCTCAGTTCATTTGAGAAACAGGACACCCGGGATCAGGTTCTGCCCAGCTATCTACTGTGATCTGTAGCCTCGGGCAGACGATAGCTCCTGCAGCACCCTGTCCTCCAACCTCCCAGACAGAAAGGCTGGTGGACAGAGATGGAGCAAAGAGCCTCAAATGCACACCTCTGCCTCCTTTCTCACGGTCTCTTGGGTAAGCAGCCAGGGCCCAGAGCTAGGACCTGAACCTGGCATCCGAGCTGCCGTGGCAGACAAGAGTGGGGTCCAGTATCCAGTCTGGGAAGGATCAGTGACTCCCAGAGTGGCAATGGCTGTGGGGAATTAGGGCCCACGTGGTCTTCTGGTCAGGGGCAAGTCAGCCTGGTGCCCTGGGCTGAGCACAGGACTTGGCCTCAGCCAGCACTGCCCTCCCAGCTCTTGGGGTTCATGAGCACAGGGACAGAGCCCCTGCACCCCATCCCCCCACAACATCCTGAGGCTTAAATGCAATTCTGTGTACCAGGTACTGGGCACACAAACAGTAGGTGCTTCAAAAACGAGAGGTGTTACTGGGTCCCTATCTGAATATTAACTGCTTTCCCAATTGAGTTAAAAAAAAAAAAAAAAAAAGCCTGAGAAAGGTGCCTGAACCCTAGGCTATGGGATGTGGAAGGCGCCTGCCAGACCAACTCTGCACACTCAACCTGGAGGACATTGGTGCCTCGGTTTCCCCATTTGTAACCTGGCACATAGTCCTTTTATTTTTAGGATGCCATCAGGATTCAGCAGGACAGTAAATAAGAGGTCCTTAGCACTGGATCTGAGTGATGGAAGGAATTAGAGGATCAGGGACTGGAGGAATGGTGGACGTGCCCCCACCCCGCAGGGCAGGCGTGACGATGAGGTGGTTTAACATGTGTGGAGAGTCTGATGTGGAACGAGAGCCTGGGAAGTGTTAAACAAGCTCGTGTCCCTCCCCTTAGCCTCAGGTGGGTGGCCCCAGTCACTCACCTCTACCCGTGTGGGGTTCAGCCAGTGGGGGATATCTCGGACGCTCACGTTCACTGGCAGGATGATGGACTCGCTGTTGTGGTCCAGGCATGAGGTGGCACACTCCGCCCCTGCAGGGAAGCAGAGCATGAGGTAGAAGCTCAGCCCTAGTCTCCTGACACCCACCAGCTGCTCCCCCATAGTACAGGCCCTGATACTCCCTGCTCCCTAGCGGACTGGCCTATCCACTTGGGAAGGAGTGAACTCCCCAGGGGTATCTGGTGTCCTGACTCAGTTCTCTTGCCTCCAATCCAGCTGGACCCACCACCATGCTCCTATGCTCTGTGTTCAATTCGGTCACTCTCCTTCTCTGCTGGAAAACTGCTCCAAAGCTCCCCAAATCCAGGGCTAAGTCCAGCACCCTTTGCCGGGCATTCTTCTTGTCTATCTCATCTCCCACTCACCACCTCACGCTTTGGTTTGTCCAACCATGTTGAACCACCTTTAGTTTTCCATCCAGGTCCCACATTCTGTGCTCTTGTTCACCTGTCCCCCACCCTCCACTGTCTGCAGGTTGCCCTAGGGGCAGTCTCACCAAGGGCTGGCCCTGGTCCTGGTGCCTCCTTTCCACAGTTACAGGGCTACTCTGGGAGGGCAGGGATGAGGCAGGTTCTTCTCGGGCCCACCTGGGTGCCCGACATGCAGTGGCTACTCAATGAACACCCACTGAGCTCTGTACCCCTCGCCTTCTCCTTCCCTGGGGGAGACATGCTCACACCCTCCCCTGTACCTTCAAGCCCCTGCCCACTGCTCTTTAATTGGTGCTTTTGACCTCCAAGCTTTATGGCACCCCTCATAGCACCCCTCACCAAACGTCACAGAACCACTTCTCATTGGTGTGGTGACTGTGAGGTTATATCAAGCTCTCTTCCCTGCTGGACTGTAAACTCCATAAGGCCCACAGTAGCCTGTGTTTCCATTCTCTCTCCAGAGCTGGCACTCTCCATGGCAAAGGGTAGGCACTCAATAATTATGTGTGACATGAATGAGACAATGATTGAAGAGTGCATGGATGATTGAGTGAGTGAGTGACTAAGTGGCACAACAAATGACCAAGCATTTAAAAAGGAGGAAGCGGGTATTAATGGATGAGTGAATGAATGAATGCTGGATAAATGGATAAAGGAAAGAAAAACATGAATCTGGGAATGAGCCTGTGAAGGCATGGATGACTGATCAGGACAGGGCTGGCACCAAGAAGTAGTCCAAGGACTTCAGGGAGAAGACAGTTGAATTTCGGCTGTGGGCTGTCAAGTTAACTGTAATTTGGCTCACTCATTCTATGCCCTGACCCCATCTAACTCTGAAGCCTCCTGAAAACAAGTCTACCCATGAGATGTCCCCAGGACTCCCTGAAGGTGCTCATTTGTGTGGGCAAATAACTGACATGTCAGAATCAGACTCAGTGACCGCTAAGGATGGTCCTTCCATGAGGCGATGCCAAGACACCTTTGAACATTAAATGGTGCATGAGCGAGAAATAATGCCTTTAAGAAAAAAATCGCTCTCTATTAGTCATTCTAAAGCTGACTTTAAAAATCCACCACATACACTCACATATTCACATAGTTTATCCATTCAGCATCCTTTCTATTGCCACCTGCTCATCCTCTTCAATCTAGTAGATTCACGAGGTCTGAAGAGGTGGCAGGGGCAAATGGCAGGCCCATGACAATGTGTGGACAGCCTCTTCATTTTAAACATGGGGACACTGAGCCCAGAAGTGAGGGAGACGAGACTTGCTGGGTGATTCTCACATCGCTCCTTCCTCTGCAAACCCAACCCCATGACAGGTGTCATCACCTCCACTTCTCAGGGAAGAGAGCACACAGTTGGTGCACAGAATTAAAACGCATGTCTCTCTGACTCCCATGTCCAGTGAGGGATTCAGGGTATAGCTACACAGAGGGCAGAAGAGGGAAGATGGCATTGGCGAGGGACAGAGATAGGAGAAGGACCAAGAAAGAGAAAAGAAACTGGAGGATGCAATAGCACACACACGGGGAGTGAGGCGTATGAGGGGGACAGTTCCTCAGAGCTCAGGGAAGCTCAGTGGTATGTGGATCACGAGATTTACTCTACTCTACAGGAGTGTTTGTGAGACGTGGTGGAACAAGGCTGGGGCCATACAATTCCTCTGAAAGAAAATGCAGCCTCTGAGAACTAGACAAGGGCTATCTTATCCCAAAAGGGGGAAAAAAATGGAAGAAATCAGGTCAACACCAGAGGCCATTGCTACCCACTGCATCTGAATTCCTCTTCTGTCTCTGTCTGCTAGGCACCCTCCCCCACAGCAGCTTCAGCCTTCAGGACCAGGCTGCTGTGTTGTGATACATGAGCCCTAGTTGGCATCTTTTCAAAGTGGTGATCTCATCAGGCCCTGCCTTTCCTTTAAGAGGAGTCTGGAGGGTGGCAGCCCTAGTGCGGTCCCACTTTGGAGGGCTGCTCACACCCCAGAAGACTCCCCAGGCTGCTTGGACAGCGGCCCAGAGCCAGGTGCTCTGGACGGCTCCAGAATGCTCCCTCCAACTCCTAAACTCCACCCGCCCCCCCCCCACACACACATACACGCACTGCTCACCCTTACTTACAAGATCTTTGTAGGTGAGCTCTCCCAAGGAGGGGCACAGGCTGGGAAGTAACATGGGGGGACATCTGGATGTGGGGAGGGCCAGGGAGCCCAGGAGTGGGGGTGGACAACCTGTTCTTCCTTCTCACTTTTGTCCTCTGTCTGTGATGCTCTCTCTCTCTCTCAGCTCTCCGTGGTGTGCCCCACCACCTACCCGAACTAGCACATTCATGCAGGGAATTTCCACACCGCAGTGGAAACATGGCACAGGGTGGGGAAAGAGTCAGGCCTCAGCGTCATCCAGACATCTTTCTCTTTTTGCTTTGACCATGATAAAGATTAGTGGGTAAAGGACTGCTGCTGTCAGACCCTCCCCCCATCTCTAGACAGTTCAGAAGGTGAATAGCGATCCCCGTACCATGGCTCACCTGCACGTTGTTGGGACAGTGAACACAATGTATGAGTCACTTGCCTTTGTGTTGGTGGTGTATACGCGGTGCATGAGTGTGTTATGTGGCTGATGTGTACATGCTAGGCATGACCTTACCATGTGATATCTGTGTTTGCGTCCATGTTGGATTATTAAGCATCTGTCTTGTGTTTATCTACACAAGATTGAATACATTTGACTATGTCAGTGGATGTATACATGCAAGAGTCTGTTTTTAAAGGCTGTTTAATAAAAGCCTCAATTACTAAATTGGGGTATTTTTCCCAGGGCCACTCAGTGCCAGTCATGAATATGACTGAATATTCACTTGCATATCCTGACTGAGATGGGAGTAGGGACCCGATCAGAAACCTATGTCCAGAACCACACACATCCATCAAGAAGGTGAAGGCCTTGGCCTAGAGATAGAGCAGCCAATGTCATTCACTATTGGCCCAATCTTCTCAAATATCTCTAAAGTGGGTCCTGCAAGGCCTTACCTCTCTGCAGCTCTGCTGCTGCAGGGCCTTTGGAATGGCAGCTCTTAAAGTAAGATCTTAAAGTGCCTCTGAACCGTCAGAGAGAACCCACTCGCGCTGGGTGTTTTCTGGCCCAGCGGGAGCATGTGCCCTGGAGTGGATGCATGAGTCCAGATCCCTACTCTAAGCTCAGATGAGGAGCTTCTGCTCTCTGAGGCTGTGTTTCTTCTTCTATGGGAGGTGGCAAGGTCCTACGGGCCTCCACTCTCCCACTGCAGGCTCACTTCTAGACATCGCTCCTGGACAACTCTCATTTTGCTGGGTAAGAATACATTGGCTTCTAAGGCTGCCAGTGAGTGCATGCAGAGATAACCTTCTGCTCCAGACAATCCTGGTGATTGCCCCATAAATCACATTGACCATGAGAAAGGACATCCAATTCCCTGGGCTTTTCATCATGGTCAATTAGGGAATCAGCCCAAGAGGTTGTTATCACTCTCCTCCGCTGAGGTCAGACTCCATGCACCCCTAGTTCCCAGGAGCCCCAAAGCCCGTGCCTGATGCATCTGTCCAGAGGCTGGTTTCACCAGCAAGCCCCGGCATCAAACCCATGTTGTCTCCCTTCACTGTGGCACTTTGTGAGCTGGCCTGTCACCATATAAACAGTATTTTGAAAATGCTATTTATCTTCATTTTGGAGGCAACTGAGATGCCACAGAAAGAACTCAGTTTTGGTTGTTAGGTCTCAGGATCTGGGGCAGGTTCTGTTCTCCCTTCAATTTTCTCATCTGCTAAAGATTACTGAGGGACTAGCTTATGATGCCTTTAAAGATGCAAGACATAATCCATAGTAGGTATGCAAGAATGGTTCGTTTTTGTGTGCAAATTTTAAAATGAATGACAACTGGACCACTGCTCTTTTCCTAATACGATGCTGTGCTTTCTGATCTCCTTCCTTTTGCTCACATAACTGCTTCTGCCTCGAAGACCTTTCTTATTCAGGAAGCTTTTGCAGAACCTCATCCCTTTCTCTGGGCACGGGTCGGCGCGTCTGCGCTCAGGTGTAACTATGCACACACACCCGCCATGATTTTGTCAATGTCCCTGCCCTTCCCTCTCTTTCTGGAAGGGCCCGCTCTTTCTCACCTTTGTCTCCCTCAAGACTCACTGGGAGAGGTACCCCATTACCAGCCCCGACATGCCCCTCCTGCTGCACCCTCGGGAGCCCATCGTACCTATGGCATAGCCTTCGGGGCACTGCAGCTTGAGGTGGCTGTTGAGCTGGTCCGGGGCGGAGCACTGGCCTTGCATCTCCTGGCAGACGTGGAAGGAGCCGCTCCAAGTGCCATCTTTCCGGCAGTGGATGACATTGCTGCCACGACCCTGGACACCACAGAAAGACATTCAGGATCCCGGCAGACCCAGGCCCCAATAGGATAAGTCTCTCAGAATAAAAAAGGAGTCATTTCTCACCTCCCGGGACTCTGAAAGTGTTCCAAAACAATTTCTTAATGATGATCCAAATTTAAGCCCTCTGCAATGGAGGCACTGACAGTGTTTCCATTTTACAGATGGGGAAACTAAGAACTCGGATTGAGAAGACATTTGCACAAAGCTTCCCAGAGAGCTAATTCCCAGGCTGCCCGCATCCAAGCTGAGTGGTCTTGCAGAGATTTCAATTGGAAGTGAATGACTTGTTTTATTTTAACTGAGAAGGTAGTTGCTCATATGCACCCCCACTTGTAGAGTGGGGTGAGCAAGGGCCCTGGAGCTGATGTGAGGTGGAAGGGCTACACCAAAGCCTGTTTCTTCTCAGCCAGTGAGAAAGCACGTCCTATCAGGGCTTATTAAGTGACCCTGGACCCCTGAGAAGCTTCTCTTCCAGGGCCCTTCTTTGTACCCTCGCCCCTCCTTTCCTCTCTTTTGTTCCATCCCATACTACCCCCCAATCCCATCCCCTCCCACCAACAGTGGTACCCACACGGTGGTATGGGATATTCCTACCTGCCCCCTCACTTTTTTGTGAAAAGTTAGTAATAAAAATGATTTTATATATTTCTTAAAAAAAATTAACTGAAGTAACATTGGCTTATACTAGAATCTAGGTTTCAGGAGTACAGCATCATGGTTGTAGAGCTATATATGCTGCATTATGATCCTTATACAAGTCCCTATTCCATCCGTCACCATACAATTCACCCCGTTCACCCATTTTACCTGCGTCCAATCCCCTTTCCCTCTGGAACCCACCTTTCTGTAGTCAGAATCTAAGAATTTGTTTTAGTTTCATTTGTTCATTTGCCCCCTCCCATTCCTTAGGCATGCACAGTTCTCAATCATTTGCAAAGTGGTAGACTAGGGAGTTTGCAGACCTGATCCTTTCTCTTAGGCCCCAATGATTCTGATGGGAGGTCTAGCTTTGTAGAAATTCAGAACTATCCCTGAATTCAAGGGCCCTTTCTCAGTGTTTATTCTATGCCCAGTTCTGTGGGGTTCAAAAGGAAAATGAGCCAGTCCCTGCCCCAGTGAGCCTGAGGAGGGTGAGCAGGATGGTCAGGTGACCACCCAGTCATAGCACCATGACTGTGCTCACTGTGTTGTGAGGGGGCCATCCAGGAAGGCTTCTTAGAGGATGTGATATATGCAAAAGCGTTTTCAAGGATGCATAGAATCACTGGCAGTAATTGAAGGGCATCCCTGGAAGACCAATGAGTGTGAGCTAAACAAGGAGGTAGAGTGAGCAGCAGGGATCCCTGGTGGCCCTGGTCCTGTGATGCAGAAAGGAAGCAGGGGAGGATGAGCTGGGAAGGCAGATAAGGGATGGGGCCCTCAAGGTCAGCTTACAGAGTTGGGGCTCAACCCTTGGAAATGGTGACTCTTGGGTGTTTTCTACACAGGAGTCCATCTCTCTGAGAACAAACAGTATACTCTCTTCCAGCCTCAAGCTTGTCAGAAGAAGAGAAACTCCACATGAAGCCAGAGTGGTGGCCTGGCTCCACTTGCTCAAACATCTATGGAATGGCTGCATGGCCTTCAGCTTCCATTCAAATTCCTGTGCCTGGCCTCCACGACCTTCACAGTCTTCAATATGCTTAATCCTGCAGCTCACTGCTCCCCAAGCAGCACTGCCAATCTTGAATATCAGTTTAAATTGCATGCATTGTGTATTTCAGTACATCTGCTTGTTCTGTTCTTCACTCTCTCTGGTGAATCCTCACACCCCCATATCTCTGGCCTGTTCCCCAGTTGTTGTATGCATAAATAAATAAATTTTAACAAAAATAAAAAATAAATAAATCTCCTGCATTGTCAAGTGTATCTATGTTGCTGCCATACTTCCTGGTCTTGGCTCCAGGCTTCCTCCCACACCAGGCCTCCCAGGCACACAGCCTCCTAACCGAGTGCCACCAGGTGCTGCAGAGCTCCCGGACTTAGGGTCCCTGATGCACAGCACCTCTTGATTTATCATCTACTTTCCTCTAGATGTTGAGTTTCTCGAGGCCCCAGACACTTCCCTACTCCTTCCTGCATCCTCAGGGTCTTCCACAAAGCCGAACAGCTTCTGGCCACTCGGTTGGGCAATTTATTCATCACTCAGTACTTATTTATGTTCAAGAACTGTTTAACAAAAGATGGAAAGAATAGGTGAAGTGTTATGAATTGTTTAACAAGCAGGAAAATAAATGAATGGATAGTTGAGGAAATAAATGAGCAAATTAGTAAGTGAATGAATGAATGAGGAAATAAATGGGTGTGTGTATGAGGAGGAGATGAATGCACTCTTTGAAAGGGCTGGTGTGAGCTGAAGCGTCCCTGTCTGTGAAAACAACTGCAAGGAGACAGGATTCAGAAGAGAAAGGGGAGCTCCTCTTTGGGCCTCTCCTAGGTCAGCACAAAGAGGGTGTGATTGCAGTGGACGCCCCTGTGGTCATAGAGAAGGGTGGCCCATCCCGAGCACACAGCTGCAGGAGGACTTGCAGAGTCCACTTTCAGAGGTGGTGTGTAAGCTCAGGGAAATTCAGGGACAGTTTCACGTGGCTGCAGAGAACTATGACTCTCCCTCCTGGAGCCCCAGGCCCCAAGCCCCATGATTCGACTGGGCCTTCAGAGGAGTAGGAAATTGACCCCAATTTCCTGGAGCCTTGGCCTGGCCTATGATGCATTTGGCCTGCAGCCCCTGAAGGGCTGCCGACCTCAGCACTACGTGGGCCAGAGCCGGCTGCGGAGCTCAGTCTGCAGCAGGGAATGTATTCGAACTTGCTGGAAGCTGCTCAGGGAATTTCAAAGTTGGGAGGCTCTAGCACAGAAGGTGGCACAATAAAGGCATTGCTTTTGCTGCTTCCAATCTCTCTGTCTCTCTGTCTCTCTCTCTCTCTCTCTCTCTCTGTCTCCTGCCTAGGTCATCTGGCACCTTCTGTTACTGACTAAATCTGCTTTACCAAATATGGCTCCTCACAGTTACACAGACATGTTTATGACTGACAAAAACAAAACAAAACTAAACAAAAAGCAAGATGGCAGCCTTCTGTTAAGATACCTTAGCCTTCCAAACAAGACGTGCTCATGGGGGGCATGCCAAGTCTTCCACAGTGAGACCCGGAGGACCTTCAGTGTGCTATTCTGCCGGGCACTCCTTCTTCCTTCGCCGCCTTGCAGGCAGACCTCTCTAGCTCCTCACTTGCCCCTGCTGTGCCCTTTGCATGGCAGACTTTCTGGAGCCTCTCCAGATTTTCAGGTCCTTCTTAGGATTAGATCTTGATGTGCTCAATGCAGATCCTCAGAACAGAGCCTTGCTGTTGAGTCCAGGTTGCCAACAGAACAGCTGATGTTGAGAATCCAAACTGGGGTGCCCAGAGACCAACTTCTCTGGGTGCTGTCAGGGAACCCACTGCTGTGTTGGGTCCAGGTGCACAATACTGTAGGCTTAGGTAAAATCTCTCACAAGAGGATTGATGCCCCTCTGGCGAAGTGTTTTGTCGCTCGGTGCTCGGGCACCCATCTTAAAAATCATGGTGTGCTCTCTCGAACTCTCCTTAGCTACACAGATCACTAAAGTGCTGAAGGCTCTTCATCACATAACAATGTTGTTGGAAAATACCTATTATGTGTCAGGCACTTCATAAACATTTTAAAGTCCTTTTAACAACAAAGAAGAAGCCCAATAATTCCCCTTCTACAGTCAGGGAAACTGAGGCTCAGCTAGGAATTGATAAAGTAAGTTTTTAGATGATGCTATTGTGGTGGCTAAGCATGTGGACTTAAGCCAAACTGCTTAGGTTCAAATCCCAGCTCTACAGCCTGCTCGTTGGGCAGACTTGGGGTGTTCTTGAAGTTTTCTCTACCAATTCCCTCAGCTGTTAATGGACACAGAGTCTACTACCCGACAGATTAGCATGACTGACTTCTTTCATGGGAAACATTCAGTGTCAGTTAAGACTCTTAACTGCTCTGTTGAACTACTTTAGGGGAACTTCAGAATCAACTCAACTGTCACCTCCATTATAGAAGCCACAGCAACCAGAATGAAGGGCAACATGCCCCGTTCACGGAGAGTGCCAATGCCAGAGCCAGCCCTCTGGTTTGTGAGCTTCTGCGCCCTTACAATGGAGGAGAGAGGAGGCGGGAAAGGCGAGAGAAGAGGCGGGGGCAGGGGGGAGACGAGTGGAGAGGAAGAAGTAAACTTTTAATGAAAATGAAAATAGAGAAAATAATGGCACAGAGAAATATGGCACACTCAGAGCAAGACAAGAGCCGACATTGTAGTGTCTGGAACAAATACTAAGCTTTGGAGGCAGCCTGCCCTCATCACAGGTATCTCAGTACCACCACTTCCTCTGGATATGTAGGGAAAGCACTTTGACTCACTGAACCTCAGTTCCTTGTCTGTAAAATGGGACAGTAAGCCCAGGTGCAGTGAGCTACATGCAATGATGTGTGAAAAGGACTTAGCCAGTGACTGGCATGTAGGAAATGCTCCACCGCCTCAGCTGCTATTGATTGCCTCTTCTCCCAGCCAATGCTGTCATACATGTTAGGCTTCCTCCAAATTAGGGTGATGTGTAGCCCCAGGAGTAAGCGTGGACAGAGAAGGCAGCTTGTGCAATAACTTAAGACTTAGTGGGCCATTACACAATGATGCTGTTTAAGATTCAACTTTGTTGGTAACTTGCTGTGTGACTTGGGGTAAGTCCCTTTCCCTCTCTGGACTCCAGTGGTCCCAGATATAAAATTAGAGGGTTGCAGTGAGAGATCGCTGAGGTCCTTCCCAGCTCTAATTTCACAAGGATGCATTATGCTTCTGACTTCCTCTAGGAGGCCCTGATGCCTGGGCAAACATTTGACAACTTTGAAACTAGAAGAGAAGCTGCTTGCACTGCACACAGGAGAGCTGCGCTTGTCCACAGCAGGACCCCAGAGGGGTAGCCGAGCTGCAAGCCTGAGAGGCAGAAAGGCTTTACAGCTATTCTCTGTGATCCTTGCAATCCACTCCCAACCTTCTCTAGCTCCTGCTGGCTGTTCACATCTACATAATTACATCACTTCTCCAAAAGGCAGCTTCCGCCTCTTCCTCTCCTGCTGCAGCCACTGCACACACATCTCCTGCAGACCCCGCCCACTCCCAGGTCACCTCCACGGTGCCTCTTGGGATGGCTGCATTTGAGTGATCACCTTGGACAGCTCAGGGGCACCTGAACTGGATTAAATGCTGAGCCGATTCAATCCTCTTTCCAGCCCCTGGAGATGGTGTCCCTGCCCTTTGCCACCAGCTGGCCTGGGAATGTCTGGAGGCAAGGGAAGAGCTGGACTGTGGAGTCACTCACCGCTGCCTGCAAACTCAAAACCATGGGCAAGAACTAAGCCTCACAGGCCTTCTTCCTTATCTGTAAAATGGGCATACTGTTTTCTGTTCCAAAGATTTATGGCAAGCTGTCAAAATGAGGGAAGGTCTATGGCCCCAGTTTAGCATCCAGGAAACACTTGAAAAGAAAAAAGCTGGTTTTAAGGTGCTCTCTCTTGGTTTGCAGTATAATGACACTACAATTGCTAGAGGTAAACTGCCTGGCCTGGTAGCCACTAAACAAGTTTGGCTATTTACCTTTAAAATTGAACTACTTGAAATTAAATAAAATACAGTATCAAGATGTTCAGTCACTCTTGCCACACTTCAAGTGCTCCATAGCCTCCTATGGCTGGTGACTACTACATTGCACAGCGCAGAGATGGAATATTTTCCTCTTAGCAGAAAGTTCAACTTCACAGCACTAGTCACGAGAGCTATATATTCTGTAGGTGTATTGAGCAAGAAATCAAGTTTCCCTGTGATTTATCCTAGTTTCCCCATTCCACACCTCAACTTTTTCCATGATGGATGGACCCTTCTCTGATTAATGGGGCTAGCTGCCAGCAGAGGGCTAACTTTCAACTCACTTCCTTTGTTTCTAGGTTCCATAGGAGTCCAAAAGGAATTTCAGGGATTCTTCCCATTAGAAGTGACCTTAAAAGTCACCTAGTAGATTTGTGCTTTCCATGCCAGGGCTGCCATGTATGGTGGCACAGGCTGTGCACTATACAAGTTTACAGGCCATTCATAGGTATTCCACTTTCATTACCACTTTTCTTTTTTATAGATTTTTATTTTTTTTATTTACTTATGCCTACAAGAGCTGGGGTATAGGCCAGTGTTTGGGGTGGGGGTGAGAGGATTCACCAGAGACAGAGTTGGGAACAGAACAGATGGATCAACCGAAACACACTGCGGATTCATTGCCACTTTTCATCGTCACAAATAGACTCTGAGATAGGTATCGCCATTCCTCCCCCCAACCACCACCATTTTATAACTGAGGAATCAGAAGCTGAAAGAGTTAAGTATCTGCCCAAGCCCTTCAGTTAGTAAGGAGTGGAGCCAAGATTCAAACTCAGAGTTCAGAACCCAGCCTTGCACTGGCTCTCAACAAATGAATGAAATGGATGTTTTATTTGTTAATTTGCTTTTAGTGTCAGTGGAAGGGAGTATGTGCATCTCTCCTCCAATAGTCCCTGTCCTCTCCTGCCAGGATGTGAACTTGTTTGGAAAGCAAAGACTTCCCATTCCACACACGCTGTTTGATTCAAGATGCTCTGGGCCGTACATTTTTGCTGTGTTTCCAGGCAGCCAGAGGGGATCTGAGGTGAAAACTAGATTTGGCTCTCAGGCCCCTGGTCTGAGGGTAGAGGAAATTCATTTTCAGTACAAACTAGAAACATCAATTGTATTAGGAGCCCATTTGGCACGCGTCCCCTCATTTTTGAGCCGACAAGCAATACCCTGCTCCTTCGCGTCTAGCCTCTCCACCAGTTGCCAAACAGAACTGCTTGAGTCGTCTGATAAATTTACATTTTCCTCTCCTTTAAATACAAACTGCCCAGGAAAGGTACTTGGCAGGCCGCAGGCAGACTGGGTTTCAGTTCGATAACATGACCATGGCCAGAATATTATTTGGCTCAGAAGTTTGGGTAGCTGTTAGCAACAGTTTTCTGCAAGGGAATGAGAATGAAGCTGATCAGCCCATGTGAGGCCATGGTAATCTCTGGCCTTTGTTTGTCCCTGCACTGGCTTCTGCTTCCCTGGCAGCCAAGGATGGGGATGACTCGGGTGCACGGATGTCCATATGTGTGTACTATCAAGGGTTTTCAGGTAGCGCCTATTGGACCCATTCTGCCCACCTTTGGGGGAACAGGGGCTCTGATTTTGACTCAGCTGACACCAGCTGTGTCACTTTGGGTGGTTGAATGACCACTCTGAGTCTTAGTTTTCTCATCCGGAAAATGAGGGTTTGACAGGGATCAACCCATCACTGCAGTTCTTTTTCATACCCTAACATTTCTTGAGCACCTACTAGGTGCCTGGAACTGTCCCAGTGCTGAAAACAGGGGCGATTAAAGATGTGGTCAAGGATTTCATGGCTTAGCAGGGAATAGAAAATGAATTACAATACAGTGTGGCCAATGAAGAGGGGGGCCCCAAGGAGGAACACTGAACCCCACAGCGAAAGGAGCATCAAGAAAGTTCCCAGAGGAAGGGATGCCTGAGCTGACTTGAAAGACTGGGAATAAGGGGAGCTATTGAAGGTAAAAAGCAGAGGTCAGAGGGGCACTCAGGCTTACTGGTGATGCAGAAGTAGCAGCAATGCCACCCTGAGGAGTTGGGATATATCTTAAGGGAATTGGTGTCACTGCTTCACCAAGAGTTTTAAGCAGAAGAATTATCAGGATCAGATTGATGCTCGAAGCAAATCACTCTGGGATGTGGTTACTGCAGAGAGAAGCAAGGGAATAAAAGCAGGAAGATGAACAGGAGGCTGCAGGGTGGCCCAAGATATAGCTGCCGGCAGGCCCGAGTTAGGGTGGTGGCCTGTGATCAGGAGAGATGTCTTTGCAGGAGAATGGGTAGGACCTGATGACTGTCTGGATGTGGAAAGCATCAGTGGAAGGAGCTGCTGATGAGCCTCTGGTAGTACCTGGCACCTGGCAGTCACGGATAAAGACTAATAAGCACTGTATGTAGGTAAAACCCACCGTGGGTCAAGCTGGCGCAACTCTGCCTCCTGTGATAAAGTCTTCCGTACCCCATGAGGCAAGAGGCATGGGGAACCAAGTCTACAGGGCTGCTTTGGTCAAGATGGAACTCTTGGTAGGCTTAGAGTTTCTCTGGAGCAGCTGGTCTCTCATTTTCCCTTCCCACTCTTGAGCCCCTGCCCTCTGAATGGTGCTGGGGCATACATAAAGATTAAGGAGAATTCACACTCAGAATACGCTCACCATAGATGGGCAGAAGTGCTGAGCTTCCAGTTACATGCAGAGTGAGAGACAGCTCAAGCCCTGCCTTCTCCTCTGCTCTCCTTTCTTTCCCAGTGTTTCCAAAACAGCAGGTCGAGACTAGAGGTGGTTTCCTTTTTCTTTAAGCTTGGGGAGCCAGTGGGTATCTAAAGATCATGGTAGTCTTGTGATTTTAAATTGTTTAGGCTCCGGCATGGGTGGTAATGGAGGTAGAGAGCTGGCAGAATAGCCCTGGACACTCCTCTTGGAGTAACTCAACTTGGATCAGGTTCCACACTTGGGATTCCATACATGATTTCCTTTGGAAGGCTTCCAATACTAACTTTTGCAAAACTAAGAATCTCTGATCAAATAAAATACAGTAATATGGGGCTATGGGATGAGGCTCAGAGAGTTCACAAAGAATGACAGTCAGAACCTAGTTTCTTAACCTCTACATTGGTGACATTGCCATCATACAATGCTGGCCTCTACAGAGTCTACCAGGGGAAGTAGTTCTTAAGACTACAGGCTGGTGCTTGGTAAGCAGAGAGGCCCAGGCATTGGCCTCATTTGCAAAGCCTTACCTGGGCAGCATCACTCTCTTCACACTTGATCCTGCACTCGCTGTTGAACTGGAAGCCGTGAGTGCACTGGTAGAGCCCATGGAATTTTGGTGGAGGTGGGTCGCAAGTCACTGGAACACAAGCTCCCTCCTGCCAGCTGCCATCCTGGGTACACTGAGTCTTGAAGGCCCGTCTTCAAGGAAGAGATAAAAGCAGAGACTTCAAGGACCAGATGGCTAGACCCAAGGCCTACCAAAAAACCCCAGCTCCTTGCGAGCCAGCTGGCCTCTCATTTCCCTTTCCCATTCTTGATTGATTTGACCTGTCTCATTTCTTTATTTATTCCTACATGTTTGATTGGGTGGGGGTATGGTCTGGGACTAAGGAAAATTCATTCATAGAACGTCTTCAGCAGCAGCAAGCAAAAGCTTCAAACTGTCTCTTATTTACTCGTGGGCTAGAGCAAAACTCAAGCTCTACATGTCCCTTGTTTCTGCCCTTCCTTCCAGAGTGTTCTGATGGCCCAATGATGACGTGAACACCCACCACTGAACAGCTCCTATGTACACTCTGCAAGCAGTTTGCATGCACAACCTCCTTTATTCTTCGCAAAAGTCCTATCCGGTTAACTATTATTCTCATCCCTATCTTACTGCTCCAAAAGAGGCCCAGAGAAGTGAGGTCATCTACCTGAGGTCAAACAGCCAGTAGGCAATTATTAACCATGCCCTTCTAGATTCTCACAGAGCAGAATGGAATCAACAGTGAGTACTGCTTCCAGCAAAGAAATGAGTGCTTCCTGCTCACCAACAGCCAGCCAGACCTGGCTCTTCTCCCCCCCAGCACCTATGAGTTTGCAGGCCCACTTACTTCTTTGACTTCCGAGAGGAGCCGGGCACATGGTATCCGGGTTTGCACTTGTACTTGCAGAAAGAGCCCACCTTGTGCTTGTTCTCTCGGCATCTGGCAGTCTGGAGGTCTGCATTGGCCACCGGGGGCGGGGCGAGGCACATGAGCTCACACAGCGCTTCTGGGAAGGACCACAGCCCATCCTCCATACAGGTCAGGAGGCTGTTGTTGCCTGGAGGACACAGGCAGACAGGGTTAGCAAAGGGAAGGCAGGGTCCCCGATAGCTGCGTTCATTCACCACCTGCCTGGACTTGAGTGAAGGTGAAAACCAAAGGGTCTTCCTCTTGCAAGCCTAAATCCTTCCACTACAACTGTGGAGCCTCCAATGAGGGAGGGAGCTGCTGCCACGGAGAAGCAGCCAGCCAACTTGGGGCATGACTTAACCCCAACCCAAGGTGAACTAAAATTCAGGGCTGGGAATTCCTTATTCAGAAACTCTTTTTTTTTTTTTAAGATTTATTTATTTATGCATACAAGAACTGGGGTACAGGCCAGAGGTGCGGGGAGTGAGAGGATTCACCAGAGACACAGTGAGGAACAGAACAGGCAGATTGACTGAAATACACTGCTGAGGGGAGCAGCGGGTGAGATAGGAGAGGTCCGCTGCGCTGTGTGGGTTGCTGCCTGGCTGGCCGGGGATCGAACTCATGCTGCAGAGGCTGCAGACAGCTTCACAGTGTTGTGCTTAACCCCTCGCACCACCAGGGAGGCCTCTCATTCAGAAACTCTTATACTGCATAGAAAAAAGTCTGATGCTCCCTCCATCCCCCTCCTTGTGTGTCAGGTGGGCATCTGAGCCCAGAGATGCAGGCACTAACAGCATAAACACACTCCAGAATCAACCCCATGGTCTGAAAACAGCATGTTGTGTGACCTCAGGCTGCCGCTCTGCTCTGGGCCCTCCTGTATTTGCCCCAGCCGTTCTTCCATCCCCCCATGGCTGGAAGTGACAGCATCGTGGTTTCTGGAGGTCTGATGGGCTTTCCAGACCCTGCATTCAGTGACGGGCTGCCAAAGCAGCTGAGAGCAACATTCCCCATCACCGTGCCAGCTCTGACAAATGTGCTGATGGCCATCGGGAAGCTGGCCCAACGGGAACGTTACAAATAAAAGCAAAACACGGAGAGTTCAGCTTTTCACTGCCAGGTCATATATTATCGACCCACGGCCTGCCCAAAACCTCCCCAGGACAATTAAAGAAGGACCTAAAACATGGGTTTCTCGACCAAACTCTCTTCTTCCTGGTTATTACTGAATGGTGTTGACAAGCAGGGCTGGAAGCACGTCGGAGGCTTCAGGATGTGAAGGTTGGAAGGTTGGAGGGGTGAAGTGAGAGGGGTGAAACTGACATTTTCTGACCATCGACTTACTGCACCCTGAGTGCTTGTGAAATGTCATCTATTCTCACAACAGTGCCCCAAGGGACTGTTCTGTGGAATTAGAGACTCAGAGAAGGAAGTGACTTGACCAAGTTCTCAGAGTTCAAAAAGTCCAGAACTGAGATTTAAAACCAATCTGTCTAACTCCAAAGCTGGAGTTAATCTTCTTTCTTTAATGGGAAGTTGAGTCAGCAGCCGTATTCCAAGGGAGCTCAAAGGGAGAGTCCAACCCAACTCTCTGTCTCTCGGGGTGATGAGATGGTAAAATAAGACAGAATTTATTCAAAATGTCCAGAAAAGTGCTGTCAAATTCCTCTTTTGCTTCTGAGCTTTCTCCTTCCTTTTCTTCCTATTTCCTCTCTCTCAACCTCCCTCCTAACTTTTGCCTCCATTATCAGGTGGAAAGGAGCATGGAGGGGCACCATATGTTCTTCCATATATGGGACCAGGCAGTGGACAAAACTAAAAAACACTGAAGGCTCTGCCCTCTTAGAGTTTATGTTCCAGTATCCTGGAGCATCAGGACAGAGCACAACCAACTGCACTCTAAAGCACATTTCTTCCTGTGCTACTTGGAAGTGGTAAGAGCTCTGGAGAGAAGTACAGCAGAAAGAGGAGAGAACACTGCAATTCTGTGTTGGCGCCTCTGCTTCTCCTGTCTCATTCATTAACTTCTTCGGTCTCCTTGCCAGTGTGATTCATCTAGTGAATGTGAGATAATCTGTTGTCTGTAGATCCCACGTTGATAAAGTGAGATGCTGCAAACTAGAGACATTTCGAAATCAAGTAAAAATATCCAGAGTTTCAGAGGAGGATCCATTTGGCTTCTGATGGAAGCAGAGAGGCTTCCAGAACACCAGAGATTACAAACTGCTTTTGACATTGCTTTTGTGATGGGGACAGTGGGCAATGTTTTGGGGGTGTCGAGGCATATCCGAAGCATCACTGGGGAGGGGAGTTATAAAACATAAAGTAAGCATACCCTCTTTAGAGTCTCCAAGAAGTGGGGAGTATCTGTGAGAAAAGTGTTGGGACTTGGAAAAAGTACAAGGCGTCAGTTATGCAAGCCATAGCCGTGGTACGAAAGTCATGTTTCTCGTGGGACGAAATAACATAAAAATTGCAAAATGTTACTCGAGAGAGACAATGTACACTAGCAACATAAATTCTAGGAGGGGATAAGCAGGAGTTAACAGTGTGCTACAGTCAAAGATAGAATTCTAAGAAAGGAGGAACGGGCAGTTCAGGACCATGGACACTCCCCCCCTGCCCAACAAAATGGAGCCAATTGCAGACACTGAACTGGGCAGAATCAGTATTTTTAGGAGCAAGATGTTGCCACTACCTGCATCCACCACATGGCTTTGAAGCCAGTATGGGATGCCATAGGCTGTTCCTGCCCTGCTCTCACCACCTTGGTGGTGAGTGCTCTGCTCCGAAGGATGCTTACCACTCACTGCCTCGCCATTGTGCACCAGAGACCTTTTGTTCTGCTTAGGGATGAGTGTTCTGCTCACATGCAGAGCACATACAAGACTCTGAGGCATCCATGCCTCTGCACGATGCCCTCAATCGGCAATGGGGTGAATGAACATGCGGGTTTCCAGAGTTGCAATAACTCTGAGGAGTGCCCTACCTTCCTTGAAGGAATGAAGTTGGGTACCATGGCAACAACTGGCTTTAGGAACAGACCTCTGGTACTTCTATGTCTCATGCTTCCTGCTCCCCTCACCTACCTATATTCCCTAGGGGAGCCTGGGTTAGGATAGGGGGTGAAAGCATGGAACTGGATTCCCAAAAAGGGGGGGTGACCCTGTGCCCTCATCTCTTCATCTTTTAAAGTCAAGACAATAAACCTTGCTCAGCCTATCTACAAATGTGGGGAAGGAAATTTCAAAGAAGTGTAATGATTGTTAAAATAATGGTTAACATGCTGCCAAAAGACATGTGCCTATTTTTACTCTTTTATTTAAGAGGCTACCCAAAAGGTCCAAATCTTGTTGGGAGTGTCTTTATGACTTGCAATTAAGCTAGAACAGAATAGAAGCAACAAAACGCCAGGAGACCTAAGGCCTGGTTTTCTGTGTCCCTCCTACGTGTGTTGGCACTATCTGCATCCTAAGGCCAAGGCTGCAGCTTATTCATTCTTTGATTCAGGAACCCAGCTTAGTGCCAAGCCCATAATAAGCCCTTCTCACCACTGGTTAGCTACTTAGTCTCATGAGTCTCCCAGTGGCCCTGAACATGTCACTTTATTCTCTGGCCTTAAACTATCTTTTGGTTCTCACACAGCTCTAACAATTTAGGATGTGAAAGGATATTGGCCACTGAAATATTTTTAGAAAACAAAAATGCAGCTAGCTGGACAGGGAAAAGGACAAGCAAGCACTTGGAAGGATATGTTAGCCAAAGGCTAGTACCAGTGGACCTGAATAGAGATTCCGTTTCACTGCCCTTGGTAAGGAAAAAACCTTAGCAAAAGTTGCAGAGGAAAGCAAAAGGAAGGAGGACCAGGAACATAAATAAAGAAGAGGTCACTGTATAAGATCCCGGGCCACGTGGGGCAAGAGGAAATGAGATCAGAAATGATTTCAGACTGGTCGCTTTCCCGAAAAGAGCCAACTAGGACTTTAGCCACCACCGGGGCTGCAGAAGATCAGAGGAAGAAACCGAGGCAGAAGAAATGGAGGCATCAAGGGAAGTATGTAAACCTTTGTCAATCTTAATTCTGAAGGCACACTTCTAGGCTCCTGGGATCCCATGTAGTGAAAGAGCACATCTGAGCTGGACTTGGCAGCCCCAGAAAGTATGTCAATTGCTCAGTAAAACTGGGCTCTCACTGTCCCAGCCTCGGTGAATCAGATTACATTTTGATTGTTTGTCCAATTTTTTCTAAATGTCTGAAGGGAATTACACCAACAGCTGTCCATCATTGAGTCCACAAGGTAGGCCTACAAAGAATTAGTAGAGCCATTTTCTTGATCTTTCTTATAATCCAGTCTGTCATCAACCCTACTTGGCAGTGAAAAACTGAGGTCCTGAGATGGAAAGCAAATTGCTCAGACTAGAGCGGGGGCTCACCCCAGGCCTGTCTGAGTCCTTGGGGCTTTCCTGAACCCACTGCAGGGTCATGCCCAGGAGCAGGACCAAAGAGAAGTTGCTGTCGAGAGAAAATCTCATGGAATCAGGGCACGGGGAGCATCCCCCACTCAAGAACGAATCATGTAATAAGGCTTCATTATCTCCACCTCTCCCCACTGTCCAGAATGCTGCCCTCACTTCAAGTTTCTTTACCACGGGGGCCCATTTATACCAAATGTTAGACACGAAGGGAAGGAAGGAGGATGTCCCCCAGTGAGATCACACTCGGGGAAAACTGGTGGATAATTGGTGGAGAGCCCTTCCTAAGAAGAGGAAGAAGGGAGCCCGAGATGGTGGAGACCTGCCAAGCAGGAGCGCCGGTGAGCACCGCGGACAGACTTGCATTAGGCAGTTTCTCCAGATCGGTGGGAGGTGCATGCCCAGCATGGGATACCATTCCTAGGGTCAGGACCCCTAGGTGCCCTTCTGGTACCCTTCTAGGTGCCCTTCTTCCACCCATGGGCCTCATTTTCCCCTCTGCATAATGAAAAAATTGGCCCTGATGACCTTCCAGGCTTCTTCCAGTGCTGATGTTCCATGTTTGATGGGAAATCTGGGCTAAGGAATATGGTTTCAAAAAGGCCAAAGGGTTCAGAGGCAGCAGATGAGAACCCTGGAGTAAGAAGAGGCCAAATTCTGAAAGCTTGACCAGCCATTCCGAGTGGAGTGTAGTCAGGGAGTCCAGAAGGGCTATTTAAGAGATGAAATTGGTCTCACTCTATGTCCTTCGCATGGTTTACACCTGAGAGTGGCCTTTCCTAAGCAGCTGTGTGGTCCTGGGGAAGCCCCTTCTTCACGGTGACCCTAAGTCCCAGGCCTAACAGTCTGCCTTAGGTATCCAAAGCTCTTTTGACCCACTGACATCCTCCAAACTCTCCAGGGAGAAGATGAAGAATGCAACTTCCATTTGGGAGTGGTTTGAGAATTCCTCTTAGGAGGTCACCTGTTAGTGGGGAAGGTCTCTTGAGGAAGCCATGAGGATAAAGCTGGAGTCTCTGGGGCCTGGCTATCTGCTTCTAAGAAAGAGGGATGGCTCTTGTCCTGAGAGAGGACAGACAAGTTGCAATTCCCAGAGGGAGGGAGGTTGTAGCAGGACTCTGAAGGGAGAGGGCAGGGGCGATGGCAGAGAAGATTAATCACTGGGCACTGTAGGATGTGGTCAGTGTCCATGTCCACCCAGCTCATGTCCCTATCTGCAGTAAAGTCTAAAAATCAGAATGTCTCAGTGGCCTTGGGAGCTTATAGAAACTAGAGAACAGATTCAGTTGTATATGTGAGATTATGTAGGAAAAACTGAGATTGAAAAGGCAACAAGATATAGAAAAAGCAGCCAAGCCTTTAAAAAAAAATGACCTTCTTGGTAAGATGGAGGCCTGCCTGCTCCAGGCATCCCGTTCCACAGTCAACATCAAGGGCGCCCACATGGTTGAGTGGAATTGAGGCTAAGTATTTTGTAAGCAGTGCTGCATTTTTGTCATTTAATTAAACATTTATGATTTTGAAGGGTTTTTTTCCCCCCTTGAACTTGAACATTTTTTTCCCCTTATGCATTTTGTAGGTTCTTCCTAAACTTCTGGTGTTTATTTGATAAAGAACCTTGGCAGAGGTCATTTCAAGGATGTGAATTCTCAGGATATTTTGCATTCATCTTGAAAAGGGCTTGGAATTTTCAGTGAAAATTAAGAAAAATTCACATACAAGTTGAGGGGCAAGAGGGTTCTGCATAACACTAGGATGCCTGGAGCTGCTGGGTGTTAGTTGCTCTTTGAGGACATTAATCTCTGGGTCCTAGGGAAGAGGGGGCATGAGGGAGAGCAAGTCTCCACAGCACCCAGGATTAAGGCCTTCACGGCATAAAGAGGGTAGGGGAGGGGAGGGGAGAGCGTTCACTGCAGGCCCTCACAGGGGAAGAGGAGCACTTACTAAGCACTGTCTGTGGGCTGGCATTCTATGCATACCACCCCTTACTCCTCAGCCCCACCCTTCCACATGGGCACTGCAAGCCCGTTTTACAAACCAGGGTGATGCTGATGCTCAGTGATGTAAAATTGTTCTCTTGAGTTCAAACACTTGTTAAAGGGCAGAGACAGGAATGGAACCCCAGTTTGTCTAATTCTAGAGCTAGAGCTCTTTTTTGCATAAATCAAGCTCCTGGGAAAGGAAAAACAGAGACTGGAAGGGAGAAAAGAGAAGTAAACAAAAGTAAAGTACAAGGAAAGATATTTTGTTCTGATCACCTCTTTAAACCTGGTTTGAGAAGAGAGGTATGAGCAACTCAAGAGACAGGTAGCAAGGTCTTTGTGCAGTCTTTGCTGCCAGTAGATCCCAGGGGAAGTCTCAGGCCTGGATTTTGAGCATCAGATGATTCTGAGAACCAAGGCACATGAAGCGCCAATGGGGCTTCCTGGGTCAGTGTGAGAATTCTTGTATTCTCAAGGGAAGACCTACATTGGGTCAACAACGATCAAAACGACGGTCCTCCTGAGGTCTTGCCTCCACAGTGGGGTCACTTCCCCCTTCTACCATAGTCAGAGGAGAAGCAATGACAGAAGGGCCTGAGTTACTTTGATTAAGAATTATTATTAGCCACACTAGGGGCTGTAATAAGCAATGCTAATTTATACACCTCCCTTTCCCCAGGGCCTCTGATTGAAAGAAGTGTGATTTCGTAGTCTGGAGTTATTAATACATCCCACATCTGGGCATATGGGGCCAACAGAAGGGCTCAGATAGCCCAAGAGATGGAGAGTTTGCATTTCCACTGGTCACTTCACATCTCTCCCATCTCATTCTTTATAGTAGCTCCTCTGCACAAATGAGTAACAATAACTAAGCTCTTAGGCTTCCTGGACCCTAATCATATCCAGCGAAATCATCACATCAGCTCAAAATGTTACCTTCTTATAATCTTCTTTATCTTCCTCCCTCCCTTTCCTCCTCTTTCTTTTCTTATCCTTTTTGCAAGATTTGCAAGATCTTGCAAGAGATTTCATTGTCACACTTACTATGTGCTACCTTTACCTGCACAGCAGGGCAGTTTGCAGAAACACAATTGGTGGGAAGAAATCGGAAGCACAAATAAAACCTCCTCCAACCCTTAGTGTTTGAGACCCAGAAGAAGGGCCTGGAAGCAGGTGAACAGAGCTGTTGGGCCCTGGGTACCTTTCAGCTGTGCTGGGTGCCGGCACTGGAAGGAGCACTTGCTGCCAAAGGTGGTGCCTTCGAGGCAGGAGAAGGAGGCAGCATAGACATGGTGCTGATCCGGGAGGCCGCAGTCCACTGGCTCACATGCCACCTGCTTGTTCCACTTGCCCTCGGTGCAGGTCACTGTGACGCTGGGGCCCGTCTGTAAGGCAGAGGTGGCAGAGTTAAGAGTGGTCGAGCCCATCCCAAATGTGAGGAACAACCACCCTTCCCTGCCTAGGCTACAGCTCAGAATCTTGTAAGGGCACCAAGAGGTCAATGATTAGTGTTCAAGTCTAGCCCACTTTGAAGGATTTCAAACTATGAACTGGGTATTTTTTGATCCCATTTTACAGATTTGGAGACTGAGGCTTGGAGACACTGAGTGATTATCCTCAAATTACACAGCTGTAAAGAGGATACGTGGCTATCCTGTCCTCCAAGGCTACTTTCTTAACTGCTATAAGCAGTCCCCGGATCATTACCTCCATTGTACTGAGAACTGTGAGATGCAGAGCTCTTGGCCATGATGATTTTCTTTCTCCAAATACCCACTGCAACATGGCCCAGTGGTGAGACACTGGCTCTTTTTCTCTGTATCTTTTCGTGACTCTGGAGGTGGTCACAGGGGCCCTGGCTTGGAGCAGGCATCCCTGCGTGCTATGTGTCCATGGGCAAGTGCCTTTCTTTAACTGCATCCTCCCACTGGCACTGGAACCAAGCATGCAAAAAGCCATGCTCTATGTGAGAGCTGATGGTTCCATAGTTGACAGACGTAGACATAAGAAGGAAGAAGGCTGGGAAAAATGAAAGTGTCCACAAGGAACTGGACCGACCTAGAAGATGGTGGGGCTGCGGGGGGGAAGGCAGAGGCCATGCCACAGAGCCAAGGGCCAGACAGTCATCACAGCCTGTGGGCTCCCATTCAAGGAGGGAGCTGCCAAGTCCCAGGAGGTTGGGGAGGCCAATTGCTAAGCTGGGATTTCAAGAGCAAAGGGCTTTTTCCTCCCTGAAGCACACATCAAAGGGAACAGAGGTTCCTCACTGCCAAAGCAGCTTAATTGTTTCCACAGGAGTTCAGAACTGCCACACCCAACACACAAAAGGAGGTGTCTACGCGAGAAACCGTGGGCCCCCAGGCTCCCAAATGGGACTCCATTCAAGCCCAGAAGCTTTGCACAAACAGGCGTTCCCAACAAGAAGCATGGCCTGTGTGCTCACTGTGTGAAGGCAGAGTCCACCACTATCAGGGCCCTGGGAAAGGCTGCCTCTGGTGACAGAGCTCTGGAGTCCTCAAACGTCAGGTTGCACCCCACCTTGCCGACACTGAGACCCCGCAGCATGTTTGGCTGGGGCCTCTTTCTGCCACATCTTTTTTTTTTTTTTTTTTAAGATTTATTTATTTATGCACACAAGAACTGGGGCACAGGCCAGAGGTGCAGGGCGTGAGAGGATTCACCAGAGACAGAGTGGGGAACAGAACAGGCAGACGGACTGAAATACACTGGTGAGGGGAGCAGCGGGCGAGATAGGAGAGGCCTGCTGCGCATGTGGGTTGCTCCTTCACTGGCCAGGGAATCAAACCCGCACTGCAGAGGCTGCGGGCCACCCCATAGTGGCATGCTCAACCCCCTGCACCATCAGTGAGTCCCTTCTGCCACATCTTAAACCCACTTACTGCCACTGTCCTCCAGGACACGTCTCTTCCTCCATAAGTTCTGCTGACTTCCCGGGGCTCTCCCAGCAGCCAGTCTTATGGCCAGACTGCAAGTCGCACCCAAGTGGGCAGTCAGAGGGCCTTTATCAACTGCAATCTGACCACACCATCTCCAACAACAGGGTCCCTGTTGCCCAGGAGATAAACCTCACACTTCTGACAAAGCAGACAGGGCCTCCCACCAGTGGACCTCGCCTATCCCTCTAGCCTCACTACTTGGATGAGTTCAGAAAATGAGAAATCTCTTTCTTACCAGTGGGTTTCCACCTACTATTCCTGCTTGTGTCCAGAGCACATATTTCTTCCCTCTCCAACACACAGCCCTCTGCCAACCCATTTAGTTTTCAGTTTCATGTCCCTTCCTCCAGGGAGCTTTCCTTGATTCCTTGTTTCCACACTCCCCTACACGCCTCTTAATGGTATGATCACACTGTGAGGTCACTGATCATTCATTGTCTGCTCTCCATCACTAGTCTCTTGAGATTCTTGAGAGGAAGGACAGGCCTACTTTAGTGACTTTCCCCCAACCCCTCTCCCCTCACCCCCGCCTGTGGCACCTAGAACAGTAATTAGTTCTCAATGAACAAACGTGGGTTTTTTGTGATGAATAAGTGAATGAATGAATGAATGCTCCATTGAGAGAGGACCCACCTCTACCTAATGCAGCCCATTCAATTGTAGTACAGTTCTGATTGTAGAAGTTTCATTCCAAAATACCAGCCATGACCTTCCAGATTTGCAAACTATACAAAGAGTCTGATATGTGTTGGGTGAAACACTTTGCACAGGAACCATTGTCTTGGAAACTCCAGATTACTCAACCAACACGCTCGTATTGAGCATAGACCAGGAGGCATCACTATTTGAAGAGCTGGGGATTCGGCACAGAACACCTTTAAGGCCCGGTTTCCGGGGTCTTAAAGCCCGTTTCCGGGGCCACGAGCCCAGCACCTGCACACACCTGGCTCTTGATCAGCTCATCATCCCGCCGGATCTGGAGCACATGGCCCGTCTGGCAGCTCACTGTGCACTGGGCGCCATGGTAGCGGTCACTGCTAGAGCAGTTGAGAGATGCGTTCTGCACAGTCAGTTCGGGGCAGTCTGTTGCTTCACAGGCGAAATGCACGCAGCTGGAGAAGGAAGAAAGCAGAGGGTCAGAGGGAGCCTTCCTGTCACTTGCTGCACGCCAGCTGGAAGATAAGGCTCACAGACTCCCTCTCCAAAATGTTAGGAGAAAGAGGAGCAGAGGAAAGGGAGAGGTGCTGGCTTGGGTGAAGAAGACCCTGGAAGCAGGGGTCAATTTTATCATTAACAGAACATGTCATGGAAACAGACACACCACGATTCATATCCTGCACTTGAAAGCTTTCTGCGTTATTATATCTCCAACCTGGCAGAGTCTCAGTTTCCCTGTGTCTGAAATGGGGACAGTGTGATCACAGCCAGGACTCACTGAGTGTCTGATCTGCCAGGCATAAAATGAAGGCAACTCTCTTCATATTTTACTATATTACTTCTGAGGATCACTGCAAGAATTCAATCAGAGAGTTCGGGAAGAGTACAGAGCATATAAAAGCCTGGCATACAAAAGCCCCAGTAAGTGGTAATCGATGGGGTAATAAATCTATGCTCCACCACCCAGAAGCTGTGTGACTTTCGGCAAGGTGCAATCACCAATCTGAGCTTCAGAGTACTCTCACATTGGGCCAACCCAAAGGGTCCTGACACTCAACTGAAGTGTTGAACGTGGAAGCCTCTTAGAAGCTGTAAGGTGACATACGAATTGTTAGTAACGCTGTACAGAGATCACGCCCTGCACCTCGCTGCAACTGCTATCCCCATGTCTCTGCCAATCTGAATGCTCCCATTCTGTGAGTTAGAGCTTCATATAAATTTCTACAGGAAGTTTCCCTGGTCACCAGGTAATCTGTGCCCCAGGCACTCTGCCCTCCCTTCTCTAATGCTGTTGTCTCACGCTTCACGCAGGGAAAGCACAGGTCGTCAGTGGCCGCCATGGGGCAGAATTTGTGCTAACCCTTACAAATATAATCGGAAACAACATGAAATCTCTGCTTGGGTGATCTTTCCCTTTCTAGTATAGTTACACAGACACTCAGTAACATTAGTGACTATTCATGGATTGCTTACATACATGAGCTCACTCCACCCGCACAACAACCCCATGAGCTAAGTGTTATTCATTTTATAGTTGGAAAAATCAGGGACCAGCAAGATTAAGTTACTTGTTTAATTCCCACCCAGATGTGGGGCTCCAAAGTCCTTGTTGTTCACCTTACCCCACACCTGCACTAGAAGTTCCCTGAGAGTAAAGATAAAACCTGTTTCCATCTTGGTATACTTCTCATTGCTATAAAAACGCCTTGCCTTCAGTAGATGTTTCTTAAACAGCAGGAAAAAAAATGGTGGCAGTGCTTGAAAGGACTCTTAAGAATTTTGTAGAACTATCATTAAGAGGGTGAGCACCAATGTAGAAAGCTTCTAGGAGCAGTCTGCTCTAACTTCTGCCCCTCTGGCTCTTTCTACCCCAAAGTCTGGCAGACAGGCTGTGCAGACAGATTTGCATCTGGAGCCTCAAGGCTGTCATTTTTCTCAGTTTTTATCCAGGAGACAGGAAGTGACTGGGACCAAAGCAACTTAAGAAGAAACTCCCACTGGATTTCTTGGTGTCTGTTGCAGCAAACTGTGCTGAGGGTTTCAGAAGAACATGGTCACTTATCTCCTGCTCTGTCCCCTGCTCAACAGTACGGTGGGAATGAAAGTGAGGTGGGCAGGTTGTTGAGGGCCTACACACCTCCCAGACGTATCACAGACAGATCCACTGTCTGTGAATCTGGAAAAGGGCAAGTGTTTGATTTAGGTCTCAGGCCCCATGTCCCATCACCACTAAAATACACAGTGGGATTAAGTGATGCTTATGGAGAGTCCAATTCTCTGACCTCCCCCCGGCTCCTGACAGCCTTGGCGACCAAGAGGAGATTGTTACTGAGGAGCCAAAGCAGGGGCTTTGACACAAACATGCATCTGTGCACTCTGTAAACACTGGGGGAAGACCACATGGTTCCAGTCAGAACAACGGACTCAGCCCCAGCTCCCAAGCTGGTCTCCTGACCTTGCCTTCCAGCTGGCTACTCTGGATCTGCACTGCCAGGGCTCCCTGGGAAATATTCCCCAGTCACATGAATTACTTGAACAGTCACCTCTATCCTTGGAAAAGGGTCGCACTGGATGAATGAGCCAGATCAGCTTTCTTTATTGCTGGACTTCTCAGAACCTTGAACGTTCCAATGTGAGGTGTGGATTTCCATAAGGGACTAGGTTAGGTACCTATCATTTTCTGAACTCTGATAACAAAGACGAGGGTCTTCCCTAGTTCTAAGAACAACTTTGGGGAGTGAGGCATCCCTGCTTTTTCAGCACACCTGTCTATACTTGGCTTACAGGCTTGAAACCAGGAAGAAAAGAAGGAATAGAAGAGTGCTAAGCCTTGGCAGCTGTGTTTTACCTGCACCCCTCATTTGCATTCTCCTGGTGATTTCCTGAGGCAGGATCACTAGTCCCATTCCCAAGAAGAGGAGACTGAGACAAGAGAGCTCAATCACTTGCCCAAAAGCTCTCAGGGTAGCCAGAGTTCCCACACGAGACTGCAGTCTGTCCCCTAAGTCCCTTCGCTCTCCTGGCAATTGGGAAGGGAGGTCAGAACACACTGTGCTAAGACTAGACATTGCCCCAGTGCCCAAATTACTCCTTCACAGAGCCCTGTCATTTCTGAAACACAGAAACAAGAATCAAAACAAGGAAAAAATGAAAAAAAAAAAAGAAAAGCCTCTGCTTGCATAAAAAATCTGGGGGGAGGATTTCATACCAGTGACAGTGATGGACGGTTAAGAAAAATAATATAAGGGAAAAATAAAGGTACTTCTTAGAATGGAAGAAGGTGACTGATGGGGGAAGGGACACTGCCAATTCAATCAATGAAATTATTACCCCAGGCCAAGGTAGAGACAATCAGATACTCGTGAATTTTCTGTTGTTCTCACATATATGGATACATACATATATATATATATATATACACACTAATATATAATATATATTAATTTATATGCACTATATATTTTTATTTATTTAAATATTTACTTATATATTTCCTTATTTGCACACTCAATTCCACATAGAGAGAGAGATTCTTAAGTCATCTGACCACCAACCCTCAGAGAGCTGTCTGCCAAGTGAATTGGACCCCGACCACGTATAACAGCACACGTGGGCACTGCTCATCCAGCCCAGAAGTTAAAGGGTTGGTAAGATCTCCCCACTCCCAGGTCAGTCCCTTGAGTCATAGCCTAACTCCGGTGGCCTGCTACGTAGCTGCATATATGCATGGGCAGGTGAAGATAATAAAACAGGCAGGTTGCTTACAGGTCATATATGTTGCTCGATGGAGACAACAAAAAGAACAGCAAGTTCAATGCTGGAATGTGAAGGGCAAAATGCCCTTGGCACAAAGGTTGCAGGATCACTGGGCAAGTGAGCCTGAGTGTTAACAAGATAGGACTCGTCTTTCTGTGTGGAAATGAGGCTTTTTGGGGAAGTGACACTAAAGGCTCTCTATCCTGGAATTCTAAGGCAGGGGAGAGGGGTGAGACTTTGATGGGAAGGGATGAAAGTCAGTGGCCTGGGGGGGTCCAGGAAAACCATGTGAGTGGGAAGAGGGCGGAGTGGGTACACCCCGTGGAGGCCGTTGTCCGACCAGCAGCAGCTCTCCAGCCGGCCCAAGGTGACCCAGTGGGACCTGTACTCTGGGTGGTCCTAGCCTTCCTGTGTCTTTAAGAGGAGGAAGAATTTAGTTCATACTAACATTTAAATGTCGACAACTATTAAATGTTGATATTTAAATCATGACAATTAATTGAAGCAGATGACCAACAGGGGCCTGACCGATGTGGCTGTGGGAGCAGTCTCGAAACTTCTGATGAGGAAGAAAGAGCTTGCCCCTAACTTGCCAGTTTTGAGCACATCTCCCCCTTGCCTGCACCTATGGGCCCCCATCTTCCAGGAGGATGGGGAAACAGAGAATCTCTTAGAATCTTCCCAGCTTTCAGGGATCTTGGACAAGACAGCAGAGATACATAGTTCAGCGTCCTTTGGAAAGGGAAAAAATAGAGTTGCCAATTCTAAGTACTGACAAGAATATGGAAGGAACCCTGGGAATTCTTGGCAGACCACTGGTGGGCACAACAGTGAGATACTGTGGTGGAGAATAGTCTGGCAGAATCCAGAGCCACCGAGGATACACGCCGGCTTAGGCACGGCTGTTCCAAGTGCAGGGAAATCCCCTACACCAGCGACTCCCAATAATGTGCTGAGAGGTTCTGGTCCCTTGGTGGGTAGTGGACATTGGGTGAGCTTGTGGGCAGCCATCTGAGGCCCGAGGTCTCTTCTATAAAAAGCTTCACGCTGGGCTCCAAATCTTACATCTAAATTCTTACTTTGTCATCCCTACATGGACTCCGATCAGAGCACAGACTCCAGGATTTCTGGGCTGCAGAGGACAGGCATTTCCACCCAGCCAAGCCCACCCCGCTGGCAGAGACTGATCTAGCTACATGGAGAAGGCTTGCCCCTGAAGTTGGCCTTCCCAAAGTTAATGCTCTGTCAGAAGTCCCTGTCTCTGGATGGACTGGCTTGGAGAAAGTGGGAAGAGTTTGCAGTAAAGGAAGGAAGAGAATGCAAGAGATGAAAGGGCATGAGGAGGAACGGAGGGAGGGAGGAAGAAAGGCAGGAAGGAAGGAATTGGAAAGTTTATTGTTCAGAGGCAATGTGTGTGTCTGTGTGTGTGTGTGTGTCTGCAAGTGTGTTCACGGGTGTGTGTTAGACACACAAAAGGCTCAATTTGTGCTTGCTGTTCTTCATTGACCAAGGTTCTCTGCTTCCCCCCCACCACCACCATCACTCTGGTCCCCTCTCACCCCCTTCCTCCCACCCCATATGCAGCTGGGATTTGACTAAAATTCCACACCCGGACCTCTCATTTGGAACCTGATCCGACTTTCTTGGTCCTCTGAATTTATTCAAGTACTGCTCCAGGACTGGAGACCCTTGAATCCAGGTCAGGACACACTGCACATGCCTGGATTGATTTTGCTGTTGTGAGGTTTCTCCCGGGCGGCCCATGAGATACCACACAACACAGCTCTGCTCTCGGGAGAGAAGGAAAATGAGGAGGGAATATAGGGGGAGGGTGGTGGGAGGGGGGAGGAGAGGAGGGGGAGGGAAGAGAGAAAGTCAGAAAGAATAGATGGGGAGGAGAAGGGGAGGGAGAGGTGGAAGGAGCAGAGGAGGGGGTGTGCGCTGGAGGGGGAGGGGAGAAGCAGCCCCTTTCACTACCTGCAAAACAACTGAGTGCAAAGTGGCTGTTTCTCCTACAGCTGAGATTTGTGCTCTCAAGTGACACTATTTACCCTGGTGTGTTGAGAGCAAGGAAAAACATCATGGCTTTTTGCAGTGGTTGCTTATTTTTCTTTTCTTTCCTCCTGGTTTATTTGCTTTAATGCAGCTGCACATTTGCACAGTCCTGCCTACTGGGGGTCTCTTCAGCTCCCCAAGGACATCTGCCATCCTGTCCTGACCCCTAGACTACTTGAGAGGACTCCAGCAGACCTGTGGCCTCCGTCCTAGAAGCTCACCTGTCCCAGCCTGGTCCAAGTTCAGGGCGAAGCCAGCTCAAGGACCTCAGGGCCGCATATCACTTGACTCAGTCTCACCGACTACCTGCTTCCATGGGACCAGCCCTGAGAAGTAAGTGCCCTCTCTCCCAGCTATGCCCAGCTCTGGTGTGCAGGGCATGACCTTTTTATGTTTTTCTGCCTAAGGTGGGCTTGACTCAGTCACTGTCCATGCACATGAAATCATGTTGCTAAAGAAATTAGATAAGGGAATAAAATGTGTGGGCCCCTACCTCTTCCCTCCTGGGAATCACAGATTGTTAGCACTGGAAGGACCGTGGACAGCATCCCACCCACCTCATTTCATAGTTGGGGAAACTGAGACCCAGAGGAAGACAGGCTCACAGTCCCACAGTGAGTCTGGCCAGGGCAACACTTGGCCCCAGTTCTGTGTTCTTCCCCAGCAAGTCAAAAGATGCAGCAAATACTTATTGATAGATTCATTTCTGAGGGCAAACACTTCTTTCTGTTTTATTCTGGGCACCGGATCTGTTCATTAAGAATTCAGAAAGAAATCAGCTGGCCTCGGGTAACTCCTGGACACTCCTGGATGGGCCAGGTGGGTGGTTCAGGATGGGAGAGCAGTGAGGAAGAGGTCTGATGGATTTGCCCATTCCATCCACACTGCTTCCCTAGGTTCTGAGAACTGACTGACTTTCATAGTTGGGAGAGCCCTTTTCGGGTGAAATATAACAATGAGTGAGACTTGAGGAGCTCTTTTGCCTCCCATGATTGCGACAGGCTTTGCACAACACCTGCTAGACTCAGTGGCACAGAACAATGTGGGTTTTGCAAGCACCTTCTGTGTCTGCTGTGGCAGCAGGGGCGTGGAAAAGGCTGGGGGGCCCCTCGGCACTCGGCTCCTCTCCTGCTCCCAGGTGTGCAGGGGCTTTTCGGAGGAGTCTTGAGTGAGCCTCTGATGACCATTTTTCTTTCTCCCTTTGGATCTCATTATGCTGATTTGAGAGGTGGTGAGACCCTGGCCCCGTCCTTCCCCTTTAGGACTCTGGGATTCTCGAGGGTAGCAGGGAAGTGGGGACACTTATATACTTGTACTCGGTGATCTCTGAGGCTTCTTCCAGGTCTAACTCTAAGAACCATAGGCAGAACTCCATGGAGTTCTCCATGGCAGAACTCCATTTTCCATGTGTCAGAAAATGGAGATGAGTGTCCTTTTTAATCTTTGCTCTTTCCGGGCTGTGTAACAGTTTGCAGAAGCATATTCATGGACAGTGCAACATTTGACCTCACAACTGCCCTATGGGGTAGATACTATTGTCTGCTCATGAAAGGGAGGCAGAAAAGCAAAGTGGCTTGTCCAAGGACACATAGTCAGGGAGGGAGAGAAACCCAGGTGAGAGTATCACCACAGCTGTGTCCTTTTCAGGAAACACCAACCCCTCTCTTGGTTCTCAACTAGGTGCATTCACAGATGCCAGATCAAAAGCACTGATGGCGAGAGGCTATGCAGTTAAAAGACAGACTCCTGGACCCTCAGGGACCTCAGTGGCTAGGGTTGGGAAGACAGAGAGACTTCACCCATCACTGAACTACACATTGATCAGTGAGGATGCAAACACCAGTCCCTCACCATCCCCCCAAATTTCGGAGGGTTATGCTTCCCGCCTGTGCTACTTAGGGAATCACAAAATTGCTGCATTTCAGAGCTTGAAGGAGCTAATCCACTTATCCTCTCTTTGTTCAAAGGAGGATGCTGAGGCCCAGAGAGGGAAATGATGGCCCAGGGTCACCCCGCACACCACTGTCCGCTCTGGGGCTGCAAGTCAGGCAGAGAAGCTTCTTTTTTTCACCACATCCCCCTCCTTCTCTCCCTCACCCCTGGAACTTAGATGCATTTCAGCCTCCCAGGCCCAAAGGCAAGCCAGCCAGGGGTCAGAGGATGGGAAAGGGAGAAACACTTTTACAGCAATGCACGTGGTTCCCTGTTCCAGAATCCCCCCATCCCAGGTCAGGCAGACCCAGGATCTCTTACCTCTTCTCCGTGGGGCTGTAGGTCTCCCCTCTCTGGCAGCTGCTCAGGGTGACGGGGTCAAAGTTGTCGAAGGAACGCAGGGCCACCCCCGAGATGGCGACCAGGGGTGAACTGAAGCTCACACGTACCGCCTGGCTGTGGTAGAAGGGCTGGCTGAGGTCATGGACCACAGGGATAATCAGAGGATTGTTCCTGCAGCTCAGGACATGGAGGCCTGTCAGGGGAAACAGAGGGCCGAGGGGCCAGGCTCATTACTCAAGGCCAGTCACACCCTCCGCAAAGGCCCTTCCCGAAGCCCCCAGACCCTTTCATGTCACTGCACAAAAGCACCATTGGGTGGCCGATGGGGATTTTGAGTTTGATTGAAAGTTTCTTTGTCTGCCCTTTTCTCTTGGTTCCAAATCTTTCCATTCCCCTTGCTTCCCTGCCCCCTAAGCTTTCTCTTCACCTACAGCCCACCACCCCTCTCCCTCCCCCAAATGGCCACCCTGGCCCAGCAGCACTGGCCCTCACCTCCCTCCCTCACTGCCTTCAGGCCTGTGGTCTGAGTGGCTAGTTCTCGGGCTGTCTTCCTGGCCAGTCATAAAGAATGGACATAATTCATAGCAACAGGCCTCTCCTGAGGGAAAAGGCCTGCTCTCCAAGGGCTTCTGGGAGCCCAGGATCAATGCTTGGTGGTAAAGACTTCTGGGCTCAGTATGCAGAGAGGAGACTGAGAAGCATGAGTAGGAGGTGGCTTTTCAGGACACAGAACGGCCAGCGACAGAAACTGCAAGTAGATCTAAGCTGACCTCACTGAACGGCCTCGGTGCTCCAGTCCAGAGAACAGGCCCCAGTTCCAGCTGAGAGCAGGCAGGGACAGAACAGGGAGGAAAGGAGAGGAAAGTCTGTGCGCATGTGCAGGGTGGCGCAGTCGTGGTGCTGGTGTTCAGGACCTCAGTGCCAGGCTTAGTCTCATGACTTTGAATGATATGATTCTAGCAAGCCCCTAAAACTCGGTTTCTGCAGCTAAAACCTGGCCTGTCCTCACCAGGTCCCGGCAGGCTTGCCTTGCTGGGATCGTTTCCCCTTATGGGAGCTCAAGCTCCAAGGTCCACACTTAGAGGAAAACTGTGAAGTCTCTGCGGGCACTGCCGCCCCTCTGAGGACAGAGCCAGAGCGCAGGGGGCCAGTGGGGAGGGACCGCTGGGGAGCGTGGAATTCAAGGAGCTTCCACAGCATTGGACACCCCCCACCCCGCCGAAAATTCTCCTGGAGCCCTCTGCAGTGCCGGGATGGCTATGAAAATATTTGTTTCTCACTTAGGGAAATTTCCCAGGAATCCAAATAAGTCCAGAGGGGTTTTCTTTCTCTTCCTTCTTCGTATGTTCCCTCTTGCCTTTAAAACTAAGCAAGTAAGTAAACATAAAAACAAAACAAAAAGCCCTCCCTGCTCCCTTGGCTTCTGCTTGACCCTGAAATGACCCCCTGCAGACTTGCTTCCTCTGGGTCTTTGAAATGAGCTCTGTGGAATGGTGTGGGCCAGGGCTTCAGACAGCAGTGCTGGCCTGCAATTCCCAGGCTCTGGACTGGCTGTCCAGAGGGTTTATCAAAATGTGGGAGGGGGGATTTTCTAGTGCCAGGCAGGGTCACCTCAGCCCCAAGTAACATCTCATTTCATTTTGTTTAGTAGCTGACTGTGAAGTCCCCGCTCTCCTGCTGTGCAGAGGAGGGAAAAGGGTTAGAGAAAGGCACTCGCAAGGTGGAAGTGAGTGAGTGGCCAGGGTGGGTTTGAACCTCAGCTGTCAGCTCTGGAGTCAGGGCTCCATTCCCCCATGTCCAAGGCTCACGCAGGCATGCCAGGGCGGCAGAGCAAGTGATAACCCCTCTGCCCAGCCGCATGCTGGAGAGGCATCTCCCTAGGTTGGTACGCCCTGACTCCTACTTCCCATTCCAGAAACCACCTGATCTCACTTCCCCCCAGGGAGCTCTGAAGGTTGCGCTGAACACAAAGGGGGCACTGGAGGTTGTTCACGGATACCACTGGCTAGAGGGTGAAGAATTCTGGGCTAGGACAACAGATACTGGCTACTGCCGTGGGACCCAGTAGGTCTCCATGCACTTCTCTGGGTCTTAGTGCTGTTAGATATAATGGGAAAGGCCTTTGCTCAGTCTTCTTCCAGGGTCTTTTGAGGATCATACAAGATGCCTGAAGTTGAAGGTCTCCAGCAGAAGGGAGGACTTAACTTTAACCCCTGGTCCCTGTATCCAGCAGACACAGGCTTCTCTGGACAGACAAACACATTCTGATTTGAATGCCAAACAGAGAAGTAAGGAAAAGCAGAGGGGAGAAGACAGTATTCAGGCAGCACATCCTCCCAGCCTCCAGGCACAGGGGAGGGAGCAGACACAAGAGGAAGTCACAGCAGAGAGAACATGCTCACCGAGGTCGTGGCTCTGGTCTTTGGTGTCCAGTAGCTGGACACTGATGGTCTCCTGCTTCTGGTCCCCATAATAGGTTCCATCGGTCACCAGGTGGACAATGACAGCTGCAGCCACCATTGGCTGAGAAAAATACGCCTGAAATCAGCAGACACAGGAGGGTCACTCTTGCTCTTGGTCATGCAGTGGGGAAGCAGCCTCGAGGGGTCGGCTTGGGGCAGATTCTTCCATTTCAGACACTGGACTGGCCGCCATGGGCCCAGCAGGGAAGCAGAGAGGCAGACACCTAGCAGTCAGACGCGCAGGCTCTGAGGTCAGACACTGTTCCAGTCTCGGTTCTGCTCCCTCCGAGGTGGGTGATGTTGAGAGGTGCTGTGCCACTCAGCACCCAAGTTCCCTCACCTTTAAATGGTGGATTAAACCAAAAGCCACTTCGTATAATGGCTGGGAGGCTCCACTATGATAATGAGTAGTGCCTGCCATGTACTAAAACCACAGAAAATGGCACTTATTATTCACCCCAACCCATGCTAACCTCTGCACTAGGCACTGAGGAGAAAAAGACGTGGTCCTGGAATTCATGGGGCCTGCGCACTCTGAAGGTGGTCAGGGACACACTGACCAAAACTCAATGCAATCCACAGACCTTGGTCAGGTAGACAGGCTCACAGACAGTTTTGGAAAACCACACAACAGATGCTCATACATGGGCAGGACAAGAAGGGAGGGCATGATCATTTTTCCTTATGGGGTTCAGTAAGACTTCCAGGAGGAGAAGGCTATGTGTAAAGGCCTGGAGCAATGAGTAAGGAGGGTCCAGGCAGATAAAAGATATCCAAACTCTTTGCCAAATCAAGAGTGACTGGGGGGCATCCCACTAGCAATTAAGGAATTCCATTTCAGGAAGCACCCCACTGTTCACTGTCAGGTTCCCTGTCCTTACAATTAACACCCTCAGTGGATAAACAAACCATCCTGAGAAAGGGCCATGGGAGTCAGGGCTTCCTGGGGGCCACTGCAGAAGAGTCTAAAGCTCTCAAAGCTTTGACTTACCCGGAGCCAGAAAGTGGTCTGAGCCAGCTGGGAATAGGGGTAACTGATGGTGCAGGGGTACCAGGCATGCTGGGAAATGCCTTCACTGAGGTCTATCACCTTGGTTCGACACACCTGGAAACAGAGAAAGAAAAAAAAAAGTTTTTAAGGGTCTGAGAGGTCGAGTTAAATTCAGTTTGACAAAGCTTTACTGTCCACCAATTTTGTTCTTGACACAGTGGGAGGAAACAGGGATAAGAGGCTAAGAGTCTATTTCGGGAGCTCACGTTCTGCCACAGAGCAGGGATCCTCAACACTGCCAAGGAAAGAATGATACCTTGTTTTGATGGTAGAGGTGAAAGAGAAATTCCCATGGGGACATGGGAGTAATGATCTTCGAGTTGGGTCTGGAAGAACAGCGTAAAGATAAGGAAAGGGTGTCACTGGTGGAAGAAACAGACAAAGACTTGAAGGAAAACAGAAACTCAGAATACTTAGGTGGTGAGCACTGCCTAAGAAATTGGGGAAAGTGGCAGAAAAAAGCAGCTTGAGAAGTTAGATCTCATCCCAGAGCCATGATTACCAAGCCGACCATTTTAGAACAAATCTATAAATTGTACCCAGTCAATATTAATGACAGAGCAAAGACTGTGACAAGATAAGCATTTGCTTTCCCCAATAAAAAGCAGCTCCACCCCTTCATATACATTTACATACACACACACACACACACGCACATACACACGTACGCCCGCATGTGTACACATTCTTAACGGTAGATCTGCCAAATGACATTAAAAGAACCACAAAGCATGTGTAGACAAGCAGAATTCTTCAAACTCAGGAGTTTCTTGTGTATCCAAATGTCATTTCATTCATTGGTTCATTCATTCAAATATTTATTGAGTAACTGCTGTTTGCCAAGCAGTCTGGGGAAGATGGCAGACACGATGCATGCCAAGGAGCGCAGAGTTGACATGTGCGCTGATATGTAAGCAGCAATCACATAGGTGTACATAACTGTAGAAGAGAAAGCAGAACAGCTCTTATAGGCTAGGAACACTAAACTGTTTTTGCGATTGATCAGCTTTTTTTCAGGTCTGCCCAAACGAATGCTTTCCCTCTGACTTGCAACGTGGCTCCTCTCTCAAAACCTCCCAGTAAACTTGGGATTGTTATCCCAAATATGCAGGCCTTGATCTACTTATCTGAAAAGTGAGGGTGACCTGGAGAGTTGCATCATCAACTATTTTTAAAAGATGAGCTAACCTAATCTCAAGCATACCAAGCACATACTGTAAAAGAAACAAACAAAAAAGAAAGGAATAAAGAAAAATTACCTAGAAGGATCAAAGATATCTATTCCAGCAATATCTATAGTAGCAAGGGTTTGAGAATAGGTTCTATGTTCACTTATTAACAAAGGGATGCACAAAATATGACATATTCACAGGACAGAATTCTATGAAACAAAAGAAGGACTGACCTAGATTTATATGCAGGATGATGCTAAAAATATTTAACACCGTATTCAGTATGGGTCCTGGCCAATGTAAACAGAGTCCTACCCGTGAACTCATAGACATCAGTAGGGAGAGACAGCAAAACATAACACTGAGGGAAAACAAAGGAGCGAGGTGTAAATGTGAAAGTACATTATCATGTCATTTGCAGAAATCATACAGAACAAGACTAAGTGTACCCCAGGCATTTCTATGGATGAATGGAGAAGAATTAAAAATGGAGTAGAAAAGTCATACATCAAATTCACAAATCAAAGTCAGGCTTAAACGCATGGCCTCATTGTTACCCAGTATCGGAAGCATCAGTATTTTTTTAGTACTTTTTGTTTTAGTGTAATTTATACTGCCAAAAAAGTCGCAAAGACAATACACGGCATTCTTATACCCTTCACCCAGTTTCCCTTGACCTTGACATCTTCAACAATTCATTCTTGAAACCTCAAAGAGAGGAAGAAAAATTGCCTAACCAATTTTGGAGAACCACACATCATCACCCAGGAAGTGCTGCAACGATGTGCTGGTTTTGGATTAAGGAGATCTGGGTCTGGTCCAGGCTCCCTCAAAATTTGACGAGTACATGTGGATTAGATACTACCCCACCTCTTTGGGGTTTTTTGTTTGTTGTTTTTTTTTAAAGATGTTATTTGTTTTTATACAAGAACCAGGGTATGGGCCAGATGCTCGGGAGGTGAGAGGATTCACCAGAGACAGAGTGGGGGGCAGAACAGGCAGATGGACTGAAAAACACTGGTGAGGGGAGCAGCGGGAGATACAGGAGAGGTCTACTGTGCCATGTGGGATTTTCGCCAGCTTCATAGTACGGTGCTCAATCGCCTGCACCACCAAGGAGGCCTTACCCCACCTCTTTGGATCTCGTTCACCCCCATATCCGATTTTGGATCAGGTCAAAGCTTTCCAAGGTGTCACCAGTGGATTCTTGGGCTCTTTGGAGGTGTCAGTCAACAGTGGAAAGGTCTACTTGGTTGCTGCTCCACTGTCTGAGCCAGAGCTTCCTCACTCATCTGTTTTATATATTGAGCTGCCTTGTAATGCTTCATTTAGGAAAAAAGCCTCAACTGCTTTAAAACACCGAAAAGGACTGGAGCTTGTTCATTGCCAATGTTCCCCGCAGCCCCCTCCCAAGGACTAGTGGGACTTGGGAATAAGAGTATTAGTTTCCAAAATATAGCAGGTAACTTCTTACAGGGAGTCAGTGCCAAGAATCAACCATCTCCTTGGCCAGGAATTAGGTGATGGCTTCAGTTATTCATATCTCCAGGATCCTAATACTGAGGAGACCGCGGGTAAAACATAGCCACTCGAGTGGCCTGGAAGACGTTTTCAAGTTTATTTATTTTGCTCAAAAACAACTGGGACCGAGCTTTGGCAGATGTGCCAGTGGATTGTGTTACATTTTACAACAGTGCGAGACTTTGCATAAACTATCTATGGCATTTGAAATCCAGGCCAGCAATTCAACATTTTTCATCTTGGAATTCTTTCCCCTAGTGCTCTTAGCAGCCTGTCCCCCAGAAGAGTGTGGGGGAGCACATCTCTGGAGTGCTGGAATGGGGGTGCTTATCTGTGCATCTAAGGCATTCACAGTCAAAGAAGTCTCCGACAGGAACAAAGCCCTCTTATTGCTTAAATCCAGTTTCCTCTTATCTGGTCAGCTCTATCAGCACTAGACAGGGCTTTAGAGGAACATGCTGCTGTTATTTTATTCTTCTGTTTTCCTATTTAGTTTTGTGTTTGTTTCAGGCTGGCTGTGATCCTGACCGGGGACAGTCAAAGCAGATCAGAGAGGGGCAAACAAATCCAGCTGAACCTTTGCCCAAAGCCTCAGTCAATCTTAAAATTATCTAAGTTCCTGGGGTGGGGTAGGGGGAGGTTGTTGGGTAAAGGGAAGCAAACATGAGCCTCCTGCTTGTATTGATCTTGTATGGATCGGCACATTCAGTGGTATTTCTGGAGTTCTCATTTCACACTGGGAAAAAAAAAAGAGCCTTGTCCCACAACATGAGGGTGGTGACTAAAGATACAGGTAGGGTCCCCAGGTGACTGATTCTCTGGGGATGCTTTGGTTTCCTTCACCCACGATTTTGCACTTTCCAAAGTAAATCCAGTTCCATAAAGCATCACAGGAGAATGTAGACAATTCTGAATATCTTGTAGGTGTCAAGCAGGAAACTGACATCCACACTCCACGTGGACTCAAGCTCTCCACCATCACCCTGAGATCCTCTTCATTTATTACCTCCCTCTCTCCACTTTCTTCAGTGTCACTTGCCCCAGCGACCATCCCAATCCTTCCTGACTTCCTTCCTTGTCACAGCCGATACCTCTCTCAAATCTTCCATTAGCCCCTCTGCTTTCCCTCACATTCCCCACTCATGCGCACACAAATCCTGACAATGCCAAGGGTTTTCCCTAGTGCCCCAGCCTCACAGATGCCCAGGGAGTGGACAGAGGAAACTTTCAGCCTCTCTGTCACACTGGAATGACCAAAAGCTGACCCCTCGCTTCACACCACTCATTGTCCAGTGGAAGATGTTGATGAGGCTCTAGAAACATGGGTGGTCTCTGGACTTCAAGTTCCTCTAGAGAGGTAAAGAGGGGGTCACCTAGGGTTGAAATCTACTTTTCAGCATTGCCCAATATTGGCTATTTCACAATAGCCAAGATGTGGAAACAACTTAAATGTCCATTGATTGGTGGTTGAATAATGTGGAATATATACACAATGGAATATTATTCAGTCTTAAAAAAGGAAATCCTGCCACATGTAACACGATGCTAAGTAAAACAAGGCAGTTACAAAAGGACAAATTGTATATGATTCCACTTCCATGAGGTACCTAAATTAGTCCAATTCATTGCATCAGGGTGGAACTTTGGTTGACAGTGGGCAGGGGAGGAAAGGGTTGTTGCTGATCACTAGGAATCAAGTTTTCAGTAAGCGAATATTACTTTGAATGACTGAAATATTGAGTTTTCACTGAATGAACATATATATTAATAAACCAATGATGAAGTGAAGGGGGGAAAGAAAATCACATAATGTTGCTAGGCAATGAGCAGGAGCAGGCGTGATCAGCCATATGTGACCTCACTTGGGTGCCTTCTCAGCTGGATAAGGGCCTGCCCAGCATCCACTCCATTGCTTCATGAACCAAACTCGTTGACATTGATAGACAGCTCTTCCCAACAGCTGGGGTGGGGATGTCTGGCCACAATTTCTCCTGCCCCTTTCTCTGAGTACCAGTGCATGCAAACATTCTTATTTGAGAGCTGTAGGGTCAAGTACACTTGGAAAGGTGATCTACTAAGACCCTTTCTCTTTTCAATGCTCATGAGAGGGTAACACCATCTCAAACAGTAAGTTTAGTAGCAAAATTGTTATGAAAATGCAAAATCTTCTGGTTCCTAGAACTGATGCCCAAGGCTCACACACTTTCTGCACCCTGTCAATCCTACCTCTGCCATGGAGAACCACCTCCAGGGAGAGTTCTGCCTCTTCCCCCAAGAATTCATGACAACCACAGCAGACAGCAATTCTGGGGCCCACACTGCTTTCTCTTCTCCAGGAAGCCAGCCCTTGGGCTCTGATGG